GCGGTAAGTGTTTAAAAGAAAATGTTCTTTCTTAGTTATATTTTCATATACACATCTCTTAAATGTTGCACAACGCGTGCGTATGACATAAAATGCTGTAACATCAGCAACATGTGTGTGTTTAATACTGTGTGTTGACCTTTTTATGCTGTTTAGATCAAAGATCATTTACGCTCCACTGGCTACCGCGTAAAGTGAATACTTTCGTACTCGACGTTCGCGCGAGTTCTCCGTCTCCCGTACGTTTCGATAAGTTGTAACGTTAGCTGGTGGTACGTCACTGACACGGCTGCAACTTGGAAGGCTCGCGTTCAGAAAACGCTCTTCGCATCTATAATCTTTTTCAACGACTTTAAAGCGAACATTTTTCCAAGATGTCCGCTTCATGTTTCGATCGAGCGAGCCAGACTTAATACTGTCTCGCGTTCCAGACTTACGACCACGCTGCGTTCTTCACGTGGAGCTTGTCGCGGTCTACAGCTTGGCGGAACCAGTCTTCAGCGACGCTTCCGTGGCGTTTTCGTCTGCTAGCAGAGCCGTTAGATCTAGATCTTGGATATTTACGGCTTCGGTCGTATGACTGGGAAGTCCTGAGAAAACAAAATTATATAACGATACACGGAAACGCGTTAGTCATAGGAAACGTCAACACGCTGACTGCTGACACGACGTTGTCTTAACGTTACCTGAATGCGCGATAAAAAGATTTTTGAGAAACCCAAGCTCCTTGGTAAGCATTTTAATTTTCTCCTCCAACAATTCGTTCTCCGTTTTCAGCTGCGTTACTCTTTCCAAGGTTTGTTGCGTGCGTAATTTACTCTTCACTCTGGATCGTTTCACAGCCTGTGAAACAGCGGAGCGAACGACGATAGTATACGCATATGCAAATAACATGCACACGTTACATGGAAAAAACTGATATATATAGATTACCTGGTTATTCCGATCCCGCCTCTTTCGATAATCCTCGTCGCCCTCGTCCTCCATTTGCTTCTTTCGTTTATTGTTTTCTTTATTTTTCGGCGCCATATAACGTAGCGTGCTAAAACACAGATGGTTAGTTTCGTAACGTTTCAAACGGCAAACTTTTACAACGTAAAATCGGAGGGATATCCAAGATAATAATGGTCACGTCGTCTGTGTTTCGTTCTTCGACATAAAACATATCTCGAGTTTAGAGATAACGAGAAACTTTTCAGCTACATGACGCACCGTGTATTTTCTTTTGCTACTAAGTACAAACGGATGCATCGTCGCGCGTTTCTCTCCCGTTTCTCCCGCGGAATGCGCGGCGCGCGATAATGCGGACATGAAATCGACGTCGTCTGTCGTCGACTTGTTTACCTCGCGGTGGGATGGATGAATAAACGTACGATAGAGAGCGAGATAGAGGGGGAGAGAGAGAGAGAGATAGCGCGGAGCACGTAGCGCTCTCTCTCTCTCAGGGTCATGTTTTCAGCATACGCGATAAGTACTCCAGCAATTGCTCAAAAAATGGCGAATTTAAATACCCGAACAACCATACGAAATACGTACACTGCGCGAACGATGCTCCTCTCCTTACGTCGCATAACGAACGCCGCGATATTATGACTTATGACTCGAAACGATGGCTTTAACAGGTAGGGTAGGATTGGGTAGGATCTCTGAAGAGCGCAACGCGTGGACCTAACCTAGAAACTTGGCTCGTATCGATCCGCTCTCGCTTCACGCGCGCCCTTCCAGCACTTGAATACACACGTTTGATTAAACATATATATTTGTGTGCCCAGAGAAAGAGAGGGCGACGGAGACGAATCCTGAATCCCGAACCTCGAGACTCGAGTCCGATGGTCCGATCCCCGAGCAGAAACAGAAACGCAAACACACACACACATACGTGTACGGGTGTACACGCGCGGGGCACGTGCATCGATGCGACACGTGGCTCTCCTTCGCGCTTATTCTTCTATCTACTCCCTCGAACTCTCACCTCTCGTCGAGTCCCTGAACCAACTCGTTCGCTTCAACGTAATCCTCAATCCTCGGCACGGATAATGATACGGAACTGTCATGTGTCCTTCGGCATCGACGCCGACCCATTCGGATATGTCGCGGGATGACGCAATGCGCAACCGAATCTTTGCAACTGCAACTTTTGCAATTTGCAAGTGCCGGGCAAACGGGATGCGTGGCGTCCTCCGGCTGCGCGACTAACAACTACGTTGCATCGCGATGGCCGATGACGTCTCGTCTTGACGTCGCTGTGACGTCGCGTTACCCTTAGTACCCTTACCCCGAGATAACATAACCCCCGAGAATTTACGGGTCGGCGGTCGCACAACGTCTCACGTTTGCATACATGGAAAACGTTCTGAAGAGCCCCACTTTCTCGCGATAGCTACGCACGACCGAAAAAACTTGTATAATAAATAAACGCACGACGTCCCTCCGTCCTTTTCTACCGCCTCACACCGTTTGCATTCGACGTATAATGGGAAACGGAATATTAACGGAAAAAAAGAAAATATAAAAATGACACAAGTAGATTTAGCCGCGCGCGCGCGCTGAACGACGTTATCACGACGCGAGACGGCCTGAGATATAACTAACTCCTTTTTTATCTTATACGTTTCAAGTCCGATACACGTGTGTGTGTGTCGCAGACGTAACGGTCAAAGTCCATGGCGTTGTTTTGGAAATGTAATGGTGGCGTATCGTAGGATTCGTAGGACGGATCTCACACGCAGTTAAAAAAACGTACACATTTTCCTCATATAAATTTATTATATCTTTGATAGTGCCGCCGAGCACTCGTAAACCCTGTAAACACGTACTCCGTATATGTTCGTACCGTCAAAGACATGCTCTTTCCGTTCATTTAATATGCAATAATTCTGAGATATTCGGCGGGGAACTGCTATCCGGAATATATTTAAATAGCGATGACAAACCGATACTCTTCGAACGGATTCAGATGGAAACGATGGCCGTCGACGTAGGTCGTAGAGTATTCTCGCGCACGCGTCTCGCGTCACTCGCTCTCGGAGCCGCTTTCGCCGCTCGCGCTAGCGGACCCGCTACCGCTACCAGTACCGGATCTCGATCTTGACCGTGACCTGGACTTGGACCGCGAGTTCGACCGAGATCTCGACGGTGACTTCGCGGGCGTTCCCGAGCGCGATCTGGATCTCGACGTGTTCCTCGCGTGAGGACTGCCGGACCGAGACCGTGCGTTACTGCGCGCGTTAGACGGCGAACGCGACCGAGAACGCGAGCGTGATCGAGACGGTGATTTAGATTTGGATGGTGAACGTGAGCGTGAACGTGACCGCGAACGCGCGCTCGACCTCGACCTCGATCTCGACCTCGATTTGGATCTTGATCTTGATCTTGATTTTGACTTTGATCTCGATCTCGATCTTGATCTCGAGTCGGCGTTGGAACGAGACCGCGAGCGGGATCGTGATTTTCTGCTGGATGCTCGCGACGATACCCGCGAGGACGCCCGCGAGGACGCTCTCGACGAGGCACGAGAGTCTCCCTCGTTCTCTGCTTCGGAACCTACAAACAACGTTTCCAGTTAGTTGGCGTTTAGCGGTCTCTATTTACAATAATAGCCTGAATATAGAAAGCGAACCTTTAACCGCCGTATCTTTTCGGTCTGTCTTTTCCTCTTGTTGAGTAGTCTCCTGCTCCTGCTCCTGCTCCTGCTCCTGCTCCTCCTCTTCCTCCTCTTCGTCCTCGTCTTCCTCTCCTGGCGGCTCCAATTGTTTCTCTCGATATCTCTGCATTCTGAATTCGTTGGCGTTCAGCGGTCTATGACGCACTATCAGGCGCGAGTTGTTTGGCTGCTGTCCGACCTTCTGGCGCCGTTTGCTCAGTCGCACGCGCGTCTCCAGTTCATTGTAGTAAACCTGCGGTACACAAGAGGATTAACGTGACGAATATCACGGAATCATATAACGCGTGATACACGAGCGCGACGAGCGCGCTGATATATATATACCCCGTCTTGTCTCATCACAAGGAAATAATTCTCCTCGTATCCCTTGGAAGCTTTGCTCTTCACGTTCCAATTGTATTCTCTCGCCATTTTGTATTCGTATTCTTCCTCATCGGCGTACGCGATACCAGCAGTCAAGTCCCGTCGGCGCTTCTCCAACGTTTCTTCCAACGGCAAAAAGTAAGCTACGAATTGCTCACCGCTCTCGTCCATTACACCTCTACGAGGGAAGCATTGTTTTAAACACGAAAATCCAAGTTCCTTCCACATTGCGTAACGTAAACGTATTGCGAGAGCTTACCGTATCATAGCTTGCGACATTTCTTCGATCTGCGCGGGTACAGATCGACCAGTTGGCGCAGGATCAGAATCAAATATGACTTGCGCACATGGATATTTCCACAACTATAAAAATTTAAAAAGATGACACGATACACGATGACGATATTGTTTACACAGCACCCCAAGCACGAGTACCTTAAAGTCTGGATATACTGGTAATATTTCTGTAGGTACTACGTTCGGTTTGCTGTAGTGTCTTTCAATTGGCTTTTTATTGTCTTCAAAGGTCTTTTCTATAGCTTTTATTTGACTATCGCGATCCATGTACAACGTTTCCTCCTAATCGAAAATACGTGACGTTTGTTATTTAAAAAAATAAAAATATACAAATACTCCGCAAGTGTTGCATATATAGCGTAGAAGGCAGGGTCGTACCTTGAAGTTCTTCTTGATACTGTAACCAACTTTAGCTTCAACCTTGTCTGCCGTTTGCGGCTGGAATCTGGTACTTTCTGTGGAAATATATTCTGTACGTCGTAACCAAGAAACACTCCTGGCATGATGTCGGGACCGCTTAGAGTCCTGTGGCGTAAGAACATCTTCCTCCAGCAACTTTTCATCCGCTGGATCTAATTGAGCATTCAGATCACCCGCATACGTGTCTTTATTTATCAAATCGATCTCTACACCTAAATCGTGTTCCGTCAGTACTTCATACTTGTAGTTGCGCTCTAATGAAGTCGGATTATACTGAATAAACCTGCGTTATAGATATCACAAATCATTATTATTATTATTATTATTATTAAAGGCAAAAAGACGTGAGCAGCGACAGTTTGACATCTGATCGCTCACCTGGTCGGTTCGAAGGGATACGTTATAAATTTCGGGTCAAACGGAATATCTGGCAGAGTGTTGCAATATTTAACTCTGCATATGAGCTCGGACCTGAAAAAGCGCGGGTCAATGGTCAATGTAGCAGCGCTATAGTTGTATTCATTTATAGATTAACTGTGGAGTGTGGGTGCGCGCGTTTATTTACCGTTTCTCCGCTGGTCTGGCCGCGCGTTTGTCCCTGTCAGCTTGATTGCTGTTGGTTTGTATGGTAGGTGCCATTTTATCGCGTCGCAAACTCGCCGATCTAACGATCAACAACAGACGTCAAGGCTCATAACTCACAACACAATATAAGCTTAAAAGCCATCACGACCGAGCGTCACATAACCACGTTGATACTTGATACTGTGTACTGTGTACGTCACGCGCAGTCCACGCAGAGGCCATATTGCCATTGCAGCCGAAGCCGACCGCTTTTCTCGCGCATGCGCGAGAAAATAAAAAAAAATTGGCATAAATCGCAAATTTGATTACGTTTCAAACACGTCTTAGGCATGTAAATACAGGGGTGCTTAGAATATGCTTTTCATAACGACTTTCATATTTCATACTTTGCTACCGGGATGCCCTGATGGCCCAGCCTCTTTCAGGCTTCTCTCTGCTAACGCGCAGGCGCGAAACTTTGCGAGACTTTAATTGTCGCCAAGTCGTAAAGATGTTGCCATTATGACGTAAACAAATGCTACCGTAGAATATTTTTATATTGCGCACGTTGTTTAACACGTAAAGAGTTATGATGTAAATAATAAATTATAATAAAATGTATAAGTACTTAATGTGTAAAATAATATTATAAAAACTAATACGTATTGATAAATCTGGAAAAAAAATTTTAATGCGAGATTATTTTCAAATCAAAACAAGGATTTTACAAAGTAGTCTAAAATCCAAGAATATACAACGTACTGGATCTGCTTGTAGATCAAGAAACTTCCACGTCTTAAATTTTGTATTTAGGACGTTATGATCGAGACTCGCGAATGAACCCGAAGATCGAACTGCACGCAAGGCCGAAGTCAAGAGACTTATAATAACATGGCATGTAAAATTCGAGAATAAATAACCAAGCCAGAAATCGAATCTGCGTCGGAGACCATTAATACCATCATAGAATCAGAAGACTCCATTGATTAACGTAACATGCGGAAAACTTTCAGCTCTTCTCCGTCAAACTTGTTTTAATAACTCATTAATAACTTTTTTCATGACGTTGCTCATGCAAGATTTTCCTGGTTATTCGTTATTTGTCAGCGAGCATGGGAATATCCGCGCCGCGCCGCGCCGCGCCGAGCCGCGACGCGCGACGTCCTAATTTCTCGTGCGCTCCTCGCACGCAGGCGTTTCCGTCGGCGTCGCCGCGTTATTGATTCGAATGCGCAAAACCCCGAGCGGCATTCTCAGAAATGCGGACGTCGTTGATCGCGTGAGAAAAGGGCTTCTACCTATCCTATAATTCCTATATTCTCGTCGTAGGAGTCCGCGAAGCGGGCGTTTCAGGTCTGGAGGATAAGCTGCGCCGCCAGGTGAGGCCCGGAAGACATGGTTGGGCCCAATGTTTCCTTGTGACTAACCGTCCCGGAGGGTGGAACGATCGCCACGCAGGGCGCATCCTTCAGAACGCCTTCCGAACACGAGCGTACAAATACAGAACTCGCGACGCTGTGCAAGGTAAAAGGCGCGACGTGAAAGTGCAAACGTATTCGCTGGAAATAACTGGAATGCAATGGAGTTCGGCGTTAAAAGTCAGATGTTGAAAGTGAGGCGAGAAGATATTATTATATATAAAACAAAATAAACGAGGATGACGTGGATCACCTTGATACTCGATGAATAGTTAATAATTAATGAACAAGAGTATTACCATTCAGCTTGCAATGTCTTACACTACGTGACTTTTCAATCTTCTGCAATCTTGTCTTGTCTTGTCGCAAAACACAAAGTGCTCAATCACAAAGTGATATTGCGCGTAATCCTTACAGGTGTATCCTGTGAGCCCTGTGGCAGGGCCCGGCGCGGCACGCTCGGTATGGGAACTGAGTCCAGATCCCGACATGGTCGGGCATCTACCGAACAATCCGATATCTGGTCATCAGAATCATGGTTCCGGCAAGGATACGCGGCAGAGGAATCGTCCTGACGATAACATCTATGCGGACGAGGCTACCACTGGCCAGAGCCCCACCGATGAGACGAAGCAGATCTTCGAGTTGCTCAGAGCTGGGTGAGATTTCGGAAAGAGAATTAATTCACATAAAACTGAAACACTTGAAAAATTCGATGACGTAGACACAGAGGGATCGTTCGTATGTGTCGCAGTGAAATCGAGGCGGTCGAGGAACTGGTCGAGAAGAACGGGCTGAGTGTGCTTAGTGCGAGAGACGAATGGGGATACACACCTGCCCATTGGGCTGCCTTGGATGGCACGGTCCAAGTTAGTTTCGAGCGTTTCGAGAGACATATTGTGATTAAAAAATCGTCATTTCTTAAACCCCCCCCCCCCCCCCTTAACACCCTTAAGCACCCTAGAAGACGTAAAACTTGTGTCTTTCAAACAGGTCATGAGATATCTGATAGAACGGAGCGGACCCGTCGATCTACCGTGCCTCGGCACGCAAGGACCCAGGCCGATACACTGGGCCTGTCGGAAAGGCCACAGTGCGATAGTGCAATTATTGTTCAAGGTAGATAGGATTACAACGCCAAAAGAAATGTAAAACGGTTCTATTTCGTACCTATTTCTTCGTCTTTCGTCGCGTTTCCATTTTTCTCAGGCGGGAGTCGCGGTCAACGCAGCTGATTTTAAGGGTTTAACGCCTCTGATGACCGCCTGCATGTTCGGCAAATTTGCGACGGCCGCCTTCTTGCTGGGATCCGGCGCGCAGGGACACTTGACCGACATAAACGGTGACACCGCGTTGCATTGGGCTGCGTACAAAGGACACGCCGAGCTGATCAAGCTGTTGATGTACAGCGGAGTGGATCTGCAGAAACCTGATTACTTTGGTTCGACACCGCTTCATCTGGCCTGCCTGTCTGGCAACGTCAGCTGCGTGCGGATCCTCTGCGAAAAGAGCAAGATCGAGCTTGAACCGCGAGACAAAAACGGTAAGACACCGTTGCAGCTGGCCAAGAGTCATCGCCACTCGGAGATCGTGCGGATTCTGCAGGCGGAACAGAAGCGCCGTGCCAGATGGATACCGCCCATCAACGAGCTATGGTTCGTGCTCGATTTTTCTAAACGAAGAAATGAACGTTCCCCTCTTGAAATGTAAATCATCTATGTGCTATTTGCTTTCTGAAGGGCGCTGTTGTTTGGCGGAGCGGGCAACAGCAAAGGACCGTTGCTGTTGTTCATGATATCCGTCCTGCTATGGGGATACCCAATGTACCTGTTCAAGTGCATTCCATTAACATGGAATCTCTTACGAGGCAGTCATTATTGCTTCATTTACTGGAACATCCTCATGTGGATTTCGTGGATCGTGGCTAATAGAAGAGACCCCGGTTATGTGCCGCAAAACAGCGATACTTATTATAGGGCGATAAAACAGGTATCACGTGTGATATCTATAAGATAAACGATTCTTACGTATCGTTACGTCCTGCGTTGTTTTAGATTCCGTACTTTGACAAATGGAAGAAACGGAATGTCTTATTATCGCGATTGTGTCACAGCTGCAGATGTTTCAGGCCCCTCCGGGCTAAACATTGTAGAATTTGCAACAGATGCGTTACATATTTCGATCATCACTGTCCATTTATATACAACTGCGTTGGCCTACGGAACAGGTACGGATCGATACAACATGCATACGTGCATACATACCTTATTGTATCGCTTAATTTTTTAGCATTCTCCTATTTGTTTTCAGAATGTGGTTCTTCCTGTTCGTTATGTGCGTGGCGATAAATTGCTCTTTCACGTTATATTTCGCCTGTTATTGCATCGCACGTGAGGGAATTCAACTCTTATATGTTCTCGGTGTATTGGAGGCTCTCGTCTTTTGCGGACTCGGCTGGATTCTAACGTGTACCTCGGTAGATACCAACACATTTACATATGTCGTCATATTTTTTATGTACAAACTTTCTATCATTATTTCTTTTTAATAGGTCCTACATGCATGTATGAATTTGACTACCAACGAAATGTTCAATTATAAGAGGTACTCGTATTTGAGGGATAAGAAGGGCAAATACTTGAATCCCTTTAGTCGAGGACCCGTGCTTAATTTCATCGAATTTTTCCTCTGTCCGCCGAATCATCAAACGAACGATCTTCAGCATTATCATATTCTTTCTGAGGACGTCATATAATTGTATAAATCTCCGAATAATCTATTTCACGCTCTCTCTCTCTCTCTCTCTCTCTCTCTCTCTCTCGCGCACAGAGAAGCGTCAAGCGCGATCACTACGTACAACGATACATTATTTTTTCAAATTACGTGTACATTTGCACATAAATATTATTACCACTTGTGAAAGATTCTTATATTTCACAGTTTAGATCGCGCGACATTTTGCTGCCAGGGCACAAACTTGCAAAGATGTAGTCGAGAGTTTTATATAAGTTAATGTTTCAATAAATATCTTATAAACAAGTTTCACAATTTATTAAATGTATTATAGTTTAGTCACATTAGTCACATAGAGGTTAATATAAAATACTGATAGCATAATAGAGATAAAAAATCTTACTATACGTATAAAATATATTACGACAGATTAGTTATATATTATCAGATGCTTTTGGAGTTAATTAAATTATTGTAAATAGATCGTCAACATGATTAACAGTGATGTCATTTCTAACTATACGATTTTCGTTTCGGGATAAATACGTTCTTAAAAAATGTATAAAAAACTGCGTACATATACATATAAAATTTAAAATGTTTCTTTGGTAAAATATACTACTGTTCTCTATATTATTAAAATGCGCAATGGAAAATTACGATCTAGAGAGAGAAATCTCAATCTATATCGTAGCAATATAGTATATGCACAAAATATATAAAAATCGTTACTTATGAACAAAGATCAACGGCTTAATATGCCTATAAAAAATTAATATATGGATGTAAATTGTATAGTAATAGACGGGCACGACTTACAATTTTTACTTTAACTCGTAGCAAAAGTCATAATTTGGTGGTGGTTCGGGAATCGCGGGTGGATCTTGCGGGATATCGATCCCTTCGGCGTCTAAAAGTCTTAATTTAATATCCATGGATAGTAAAGTCTCCAAGTCATTTTCAGCCTCTTTACTAGTCATTCTATTTCCTGAAAGAAAGGAAAAAGCAAGTAAAAAAATTACTCGCACATGCATCGCTTGTAAATGTAAGCGGAATATGCGACGCACCGAGTAAAGCGTTAATGCCGTCGGTCCAATAATCGAAAACTTGTTCATCAGGAGCAACGAAATCGAGACTAGATACTTCAACGGAGTCCAACGCCAAGGAAAACGCCAACTGATGCGTAGTTTTTCGCCTTTGCAAATCTTTCATATGCGGACAATCTCTGCCGGTCAGTAATCCTCGAATCTCGACTACCGCTAACTTCGTAGGAAGTTCGTCTATTGTTGGCACCGATTTCTCGTCGCAGTCTCCATAGTGAAAGACTTTGTGATTCGGCGATAAGCGGACGTACCAAAATTTATCTTTAATCCGCTAAAAATATCGAGATTCTTATTAGAAATTTCATAATTTATACGTAATGCTAAACGTATCTTATGTCAAAATAATACATACTTGTCCTCTGGCACTGTATTTCATGAATCTAGTACCCTGCACCAAAAATCCTAATCGTTGCTGCTGAATCAGCTCTAAGATTTCTGGAGTAATCTGTTCTCTAAGTTCAACAATTGGCCTTGCGTGGCTTTCCCATTCTTCCCTGTTTGTCCTTTCCTGTTGCCAGAGGTTAGTGATTGTCGAATAGGGCAGCTGTTGTAACTTGTTTTTGAACTTGTCCAGTCCTGTGGGCTTGCATTGAAGCGCCCTAGTAATCTGCTCGCGTACGACAGAGAAGACTTTGACAAAATCTTCCGTAGTTGCTCTCATTTCCTTCCACGTCTTATTCAACAGAACTATGCAGACACAGTAAAACTCTTCGAAGGGATGATCGTGCGTAAAGAACATTGGATGATAAGACTGACCCTGTTCGCTTGGAGCTTCGCCAATACGTAATACCTAATTAATATTCGTCCATTTTATATGTGCATTATTAAACGTATAATTTAAAGTTTTTGAAAAATCTATCTCACCTCGCAAAGCAATTTAACAAGTTCTACACTTGTTCTGCCGAAAGGACATTCATGCTCGTCTGCTCTGCACGAGTTCTCGAGAACGACCTTCGTGTAAGCTTCAGTATGATTACGTGCAAAGTATACCATACAATCCAATGCAAGCATCCCTGGTGGAGTCTCGGTAAAGTCGAGAGCAGGATTGATGTCATACTTGAAACCCAATTTCTTGTAATCCTTGGCAAAAAGTCCTTGCTTGCGAGCGGTTACATCACTACTATTCACACCTTCCGTATCGAAGGCGATTCTTCGAAGTTCCTTAATTTTGTCATGTGCGTCTTGATCCTGTGGATCCATCTTCGTCATCATTCGTTGTTCCAAAAGACTCAACATTAGCGTCTGCAGTACATAGAGTTGATGGGCCATTTCTGCTCCGACCTGTGAAAGCGGGATGTTTTTAGAAAAAAAAAAAAAAAAAAAAAAACGATAAAAACAAAAGTTTATTGGCTAGAAATAACTACTAACGGTTATACAGGATACACCAATGAAAACAAAACTTCTGTTTTGGCCTAATATTTGAGATACGAAACACGTACAATTTATATGAAAATAAATAAATTTTTTTTTTCTTTCAACTCATAACAGATATTCGTTTTGATCAAGCTTTATGTGTATATAATAAACAAATCAACCATTTTAGTCTACAAAACCTGGTAAAGTAGACAGGTTTAAATTTTTTTAAATTAATTAAATTCTTCGGTCATAAATACAAAGGTAAATGTAACTCTAGTAAAAATTCTATATCGATACGTTATGTACGTATACCTGTCCAGTAGACTGTATGACATTTGTCAAGAACACGTTCCTGACTTGTTTAGACTGTAACGTAGCAGAAACTGCTCGTCTTTTGTGCATATCAGCCTTTAGAAACAGTGCATTTATTAAAGCTATCGCATTTTGTTGAATTTGCGGATTCATGCACTGCAAATGCATTACAAGATTAGGAAAAGTAACTTCTTTCTCCACTTGTCCATATTTCCCTGTTGAATTTAGGACTATATTCTCTAAAATACTTAGAGAAGCTTCGACTATACTGGTGTCCTGAGTTACTGCGTGATTATTCACGTAGCTCGCCACTTTATTGATAAACGGTGTTTCCAATATGTCCCAAGAAACAATTCCATGGTCCATCAATTCCACAAACGATTGAAGGGAATATGCAAGCGTGTTTCCCTTATATTTTCCACCTTCCACCTAATGGAGCATTTGTTACGTAAGAAATATATAAATGATTGACAAAAGTCACACACTATATTCTTGTACGAAAGGCTTTCATACCTGTGAAATAATTAATGCCAATCCTTTCTTATTTATAAATTCCAACGCAAAAGTCATGTCCATGCTGAGTGTGCTCAGCTTCTGTAGAGAGAGAGCCACTAATTTCTCTTCTACCGTTCCATTGTTAAGCTTAGCCAAAATATCGCTCGCTGTTTTCGAAGGTGAAAACTCCAATCTGAGAATACTGCCATTCTTCACCTCGTTTCTATTTTTCTCGGTAATGTAATTCTGATTGTTATTTTCCGAAAATTGCAAAGAGTATGACTCCGCGTCGGACAAGCCCCATCCGTTACACAATTCCTAAAATTAAAGCAGAACATTAGTCATTAATCCTATAAATTAAGTATCAGCATGCGTTCTATTATCTTTCCTTCTTATACAGGATACGTCTGAAATACAATAAAATACAACGATATATAACTGGAAAGAGGTAATTCCTCGTGCGGAAATAAGTAACAGGGTAAAATTTTTTCGTGGGACGCTTTTTTTCTAAATAAAATGTTGAAAATTGGACGATTAATTCAGATGCACCCTGTATACTGTATGTACAAGTACCAAATTACGATATCACATGAAACATCGTGATGAGATTATAGTAACGTTATAGCAGTAGTATAATAAAATTGACCGCACCTGAATAATTCCGGCCAAAGGTTGCTTCTGATTGAACTCGATGAGCTGCGGCACCTGATCGGTCATTTGGACGGCGATTTTCACGATGTTCGAATCTTTCTGGACCGGCATTTTGATCGCCTGCGTGTACATAAAAGGAATAAGAACGAGTTCCTTCGCAGACGCGCGACAACGACGTTTCGTGCACGCCGGTCCAGTTTGTTTACAATCCGCTGGCGAGTTTTGACGTCTCCGCTGTCATAACGATCCCGACATTCCCGACCCGAGCCCGAGAACCGAGATTGTCCGAGATGCAGTTGCAAGTTGCAACGGTCACGTGACCGCGAGGGCGAGGCGCGCGCGAGGCGAGGTTAGAGCAGGCGAGCCCGCTTCCGCCCGTCACCGGAAACGACGTGACAGGGTGCCGCGGTGACATGATAGGACCGCCAATTCAACTTTCACGTCCACCAGCTTAATATCAGTATCGAGAAGTCGTTAATTTTATAAACAAATTTATAAAATATATTGCCTTACTCGCTTAATGGATTTACGTAAACTGACGTTATACAATTTATACACAATATTTCATTAATTTTTTTATGCTTAATTCATATATATATGTATATCAATTCTTTATTCCTTTATCGTGCGCGTGCTTCGCACGCGGGTTCACGTTCACGAAGCTGCAATCAAAATCTCATTTTCTCAAGACAGGGAGTCAGAGGAGATCGTTTTTCTTGAAGCAGGACGATGGAGTGTTTTTCTTGACGGTGGAATGAGGCGATTGAAAGACACCATGGCAGAGACAGTGGAAATGAAGTAATGAAGCTAAGAGCACGTTGCTGGCGTAAGTAAAACAATGCGTAGGTTTTGATTAAAAGGTATATCGATCTCCTGTCACCCTAGAAAAATACAAGAAACGACGCAAATGCGGGAGCAGTCAGCAGAAATGGTCCTCGAGTACGCGGATAAAGGCTCACGTTTTCCGACAATAGCTGATTAATCCTTCTCCGTAGACCGACAGTGCGGCATCGTCGCGTCTCGTTTGCAAGACATGGCAAGTGATCCGAGAAAACGTTTGCGAAATGCGTTTTTCCTTCATCTCATCGCAGTATGCATCGTTCTGCATATCAGCAACGTCGCCTCGAAAAGTAAAGTGTGATTGTTGAAAAAAATGTTTAATTTTAATTAAATATAATGCGCTGTGAAATAGTGACGTATAAAAAATGTTCAATAACTTTATAAATGTTTTGATATATTCAAATAATTATTGAGACGTGAATCAGTCAATAATTTATCTATTCCATACGATAAAATTATAATTGATGATTTATTTATTATTTATTAGAAATTGAAGAAACTGCGTGTGGAACATCGATGATTGTGCTCAATCGGATAGACAATACGTTTGACGTGTTAAATCGAGCGATCGCCGAATTGGAATGGCAAACCCTCGCAAACCGTTCGATTACATCGTCAGAAATATATATGCACCTTGTTCGTCTGAAGCTCAAGTTAAGGAATGGATGGTGTACAAACGTGTTGGACCTTGAAAACGATGGAGTATCTGTGAACGAAAACGTGCTGCGCTTTTTGTGCAAAGGACCAAAATATACCAATGAAATAGCAAGGTATGACAGATGTCTATAATCAAAGTTGAAAATCCTTGTTTATATATAAATCGTTAAATTTAAACCAATTTTCATTTCGTTCCTCTTTTTACAGAAAAATCACTGTTATCAATCAACTGTTGTCATCCGCATATACGTCTGCACGGATTTGCAAAATTGAAAATTACGTACAAAGATGTTACAACGGTGAATTAGACGTGGGAAAGTTAATGGCAACTTCGAGGTACATTGCAATACGTTATGTAATTTAAAGCTAAAGTTACGGAATCTCTCAGAAATGCGAAAAATATGACAAAAAAGAAAATATTTAATATCCTTTTTTGAACATGTATATTTGTTTTATTTAGAAACGAGACGGAATTACGTTGGGCTTGGACTGCTTGGAGAAATCATATGAGTCACACAAAGAAACTGTTTGGACAGTTGGTGAATCTTCAAAATACTGCTGTGCGAAACAATGGTAACGTAACATTTATAATACTAAATTATTTATTGAGATTTTAAAAAGGAGGATTAAGCTTTTATTTTTAATAGTATTAATAATAATTAAGTTTTACTGCGTATAAGGCTATGCTGATATCGGAGAATATTGGAGAGAGGAATACGAACGTCCAGACTTGGAAAACGTTTTTGAAGAAATGTATCGACAAGTTGAGCCTCTCTACAGTCTTCTTCACGCTGTCGTAAGATTCCGGCTCGCAAGATTGTATCCCGACGTTATTGATGTGTTTTCGCCAATTCCTGCTCATTTATTAGGTAAAATAAGTTAATAATAAAGGTAAATAACGTAAATAACGAAAAAATAGCGAACGCAACTTCTTTCTCTTTCGGCGTATTTTTATATAGGCAACTTGTGGTCGCAAAGTTGGGAAGCATTAATTGACGTGGTGTTTCCAACGTACACCGCGGTCATGCCGAATCTGACGGATTCGATGATACAAGAAACGTACAGCGTAATAAAAATGGTTAAGACTGCAGAAGATTTTTACACATCTCTCGGATTTCCACCGTTACCGTCAGAATTCTGGAAGAAGTCTATCTTTGAACAAGAAACTGGCAGGGAATCTAGCTGTCACGCAACCGCGGTCAACATGTACAAGAAGGATGATTTTAGGTATTTTTATGATTTTAAGTCACATAGGAATCGAGTTATGACGTTATGAATTCAGTTTAATTTAACTGTGCCTTTATTTTAGAATTTTTGCGTGTTTAGAAACACGACCGCAAGATTTCAATGTCATTTATCACGAGATTGGTCACATACAGTATTATATGGCATATCAGAATCAGCCGTCATTTTTCAAGGTATTTAACCCTTTTAAAATTAAATTGTTACTATGTAACTGACTTATTTATATTATAACGTCGAGCTATCGTTGTCTTGACAAGAATCAACTTACTATTTCCAACAAACTACCTATTGCAATAATTTTCATTTTAATTTGTATGTAAAATATATGTTATCTTATTCAGAATGGAATCAACAGTGCTTTTCACGAGTCAATAGGCGATGCTATTTCGTATGGCGCAACTTCTTTCCGACACATGCATCGTCTGGAATTGATACGTAACGCTTCTGCGTCATTCGGCAATTCATCCGAAGTAAATTCGCGTTTGCAAGATTCGTTGGAAATAGCTCTCCTTCTGAAGCAAGCTTTACTTAAAATACCGCAACTATCCAATGGACTAATAATAGAGAAATGGAGGTGGTCCGTATTCTCCGGTAAGACACAGCCATCGGAATACAACACATTCTGGTGGAACTTGCATCGTCGATACATGGGTGTCGTACCGCCATCACCGAGATCCGAGAAGTTCTTTGATCCAGCGGCGAAATTCCACATCGCCCATGGTATACCTTATGCCGGGTAGGTTCGAGAGAAGATTTGATACGAAGGATATACAAATAAAACTAACAAATAATTTGATATCAATAGATACTTCCTGGGAAACTTTCTGCAAATTCAATTATTTCAAGGAATGTGTGAAGCATCTTTGAATTTACCGGTTGGTTCCACGGCATTTAACTTACCTCTTCACAAATGCGACATTTATGGCTCCAAGGATGCGGGAAAATTCTTAAGGTTGGTATAAGCAACTGCATGAATTTTTACAAAATAATAGTTTTACGTCTGGCTTTTTTTTTTCGAAAATAAGGAAAGAAAATAGTAAAAAAATAACTTTCCTACAAAATGTATATCTAAATGCTTCATTTGTGTGGAGAACATGGAAAAAGATGTACGAATGTATGTAAAAAAAAAGTGATTTTAGTTCACTTTATGCTTCCAGGTCGATCATGAAACTCGGAAGCAAAGCAAATTGGAGACACGCGTTGCGTGTGACAACGGGATATTCCGAGTATCGTATAGAGCCGTTCTTAGCATACTACGAACCGGTTCGCGAATGGCTGCAACGCGAGATTGAACATCACGGGATTCCAGTTGGCTGGGATTGAAATGAATCAATCTCGAGTTTTCCGACATGAATGTAGGAAGTGTCTGTCTTGATTTTCCTTCGCTGTGTCGTTAAGAATATCTTCAAGAATTGTATCGATTACTTCGTTGTATTCTGGAGTCCAGTGCGACTAAGCGGTCGCTTGCACGTGTGTCGTCATAGTTCTGTTGTATTTAATTCTTGTCTCGAGCCCAGACCTTCGTTCGTGAAAATATCGAATTCTTCTCGATTTGCGAGAGCGTTACGGACGTCGTTTGGCGTAATGACTTTGGGACATCTGCAATACAAATTAATGAAATATATAATAGACAGTTTACAATACAAACCGTGTGTGCACAGAGGTGCAGAAAAAAAAAATATATATATATATATATAATTACTCATTTCCGCTGTTTCTTTCCCAAGCTCTTGCCAACGACGATCGAGTGAGATCCTCCACGAAACATTCGACAACCTGAATACAATTATGATCGTGAATATACAATTTTTATTTTATATCCCAACAGTGAGTACACGTGCATAAAAAATAATTTTACCCGCATCATTACACGACTAGCAGCACAATATACAACACCGGGAATAATCTCCTCTGGTGTGATCTTGATGCCGATATCTCGCGCGGTGTCACACACGAAATTATGGAACGGCAGCAGATCTTCGTCAAGTTCAATCGGTAATAATGTAGAACCAGTTGAACACGTGCTATTTTTATCACTGTCGTTTTTTCTCCGATCGATTGTAATACTGCGTGGACTCTCCTTCACATTCTCGACGTCGATCTCTTCGTCATCGATATGATTATCCTTCGATTGACGATTAGGTTCTTGCTGGCAGGTCTGCAGCCACTTATGCAGCGCACGTGGTTCCGTACACGTGGATAAGACCGTGGCAGATGTCGTGGTATCGGGTAGTTTCTTCGTATCGCTCGTTCCGGCTGTTTCCTGTACACCGAAGGCATTCCGACTCGGTGTGTAGCCGTGTAGTCTCGCCCACAGGATGATCTCCTTGATGGTCCATAGTTGGTCGATTGGGATCGGCTTCATCCGTAGAAAGCTTCTGATCGTCTTCGCGCGGTACCACTCCATGGCTCGCCGTTTACCGACATTGTACGCAAAGTATTCCTCCTCGCTGCAACACGCGTAAGGATGCAGCCGTCTGTACTCGGGATCGCGGGCGTCTCGCGTAACGATCGGCACGCGGCGTATAATAAATCGTATCAGCGCCTCCGTGTCGGCGATATTCACGGTGTCGATTGACCGGAGAACCGCTTCGTACAGATCCTTCTTGCTCTGGATTTTGAATTTGTCCTTGCCCAGCGTGACCTTCGCCCGTTGCACCACGGTCTTCTCCGATCTTGCGCACGATACGGATTCTTGTTGCTTGCCAATCAACGGATTGCTCCTTGTCGTCGCCTCGGCGAGACCGTAAGTGTTTCGCAGGTCGCGCGAGTCCGCTATCTTCAGGATCGGCACGTTCTCGTTAACGTTCAGCAGCAGACTATTAGCGCTTTTCAGCTTGAGTACAACAGCCTTTTTGTTATTGTCAACTGTACCTTCCTTTCGCGCATTTGCCTTGGCGTTAGGCGGCTTCTTCAGAATGCTCACGCCCTGAGGAACGCGAACGTTTAGTCTCGCGACGCTACCGTCTCTCGGAACAGAAACTTTCACGTCGCCGTCGACGAACTTTTTTGAGTTTTCGTTAGATTTTGATGGAAGTATACTTGCGAGATCCACCGGTATTGATTTCTTATCCTTCAAAAGAAGTACATGCTTGCTGGTCGACGACGCGAATATATTCGACGGTGGTATGGAGATGTGCAGAGGTCTTAAATGCGACGTATTGATTTCCGAGGAACTTGCGGCTTTCTGTAAATTGTTGAAGCACGCGAGCGAGGCACGGGACGGTTTGTGGAAACCATTAGTCGTCGTTACTGTATCTTTGGCCGAGATAGTTTCTGAAATCCCGAAAGTATTATCGCTGTTCGAGTTTTTTGCTCGTAAAGATTTCACCGTGTCGGGTGACGACAGACTCTTTTGACTATTGTTCTTCTGGAATGTATTTACTACTAGCGACGCGTCTGTCGTTGCGTTTGAATTTGAAGATAAAGGCTGATAGTTGCCGGAAGACTGGATATCACCGTTAAATCTATGCGAGGGAACGACTAGGTCAGCGTTCTTTTCGTTACTCTCAACTGACGTGATCGCGAACGTTGTACAGTCGTTTTCCGGACAGTGCTCCACAGTCACGTTTCCTTCTCTTACAGTACACGGACCAGAATTAAAATACTGTCTGCTGTAATAATTATGATCGTGTTCGATGGGGTTGCGTATCGCTTCTCCATGTTTGTCGTTGGATACGCGAGTGGTTGCGTCGGCGTCGTTAGGTTCAGTTTTTATTCCGGTTAAATCCAATGATGACGTCAATCGTTTGCATGCTTCGGACATTTCTTTCAGTTGCATTTTCTCGGAAGTGTTCACGGTAAGCCGTGACATTTCCGCGACGTTCGCCGATTGTTTATGAGTAAATTCGAAACTATTACCATTACCGTTCGGTTCTACCTTTACCAAAGTGTCATTATTAATGGAAGACTCGACTTGGTGGTTATTCTGTTCCGGATTACGGGATTCCGCCGTATGAATCCACACGTCGACCAGGGTCTCCGAGCCTAGGGTTTGCAGTCCCGTGTAAGTGCGATCTAGTTTCAGGTGGTGAATTATGTCCATGGGCTTATTCAAGGCATTCTTAAAGTGCAATTGCACCCTAAGAGGAAATTCACCCCATCCTCGTCTGGACAGGTGAAACGGGTACGACGTGACTTCAACGACGTCGTTTGGACGGTAACTGGGATGCAGGAAGAACCTCACCTTACTGACGAAAGTTCCGATGTTGGCATTCTCATCTTTGTCACCGCGCACGTACATCGTCCACTTGTGACTCGACGCATCTTCTCGCCAATCTGGCGGGATCCACTTGGAAATATTGCCGACGACAATGCGTTTGCGGACCTTGTGGCTATTTCCACGAGACGGGCATGCCTTCTCAGGCACGCTGCTCTTCGGTGGCACGTAACGAGGTATCTTGCGAGGTTGAGGCTCCTCGTCCGACGCTTTTCGTTTCTCACCTTGTAACGCGCCATCACGCTTGTTTGCATTTTCCTCGATTTTGAGCGTGCTATTCGCCGTGGTGCTCGCGCCCGACGCGAGACATTCATTGTACAAAAATCGGGGATCGGTGGACGTCGATGGCACCGCGAGATCTGTACAATCAGTGGATTTGGGACACTTTCCAAGTAACGTTTTAATCGCGGGATGAATCCTCGTCTGTTTCGTGGTCTCCGCAGCTTGGGGACGTTGACACTGCTTGCGATTGTAAAAGTTAGTAATTATGACGTAACGCAATAGATGAAAGATCTTGAGAGTTTTGTGCAGTCTTTCCTGTATCTGTAAAATTTCCTTCTCCTTCAAATCAATCTCCCGTGAGAACTCTTTCTCCACTATTGCAGTTATCTTCTTTGCGGTAGTGTTTCTTGCTAAAAGAAAAGAAAGATGTTGCGTTATTTATCGTTGGATACCGTTAGATCAGGCCATCAGGCATGGTCACGTTGAAGCTTCGGAGCCACGCGACACCTTCGCTCTTCGTGAATAGAAAGGGGATACTTGGCATCGTGGCTCCAAAAGTCCAAAGCTCGAAGCTGACCACGCCTGTGTTAAATGTTTACAGAATCACGAAATAATATCAAACGTATTCTAAAAAATAAATCTTGCAAATTTATTAATGTTGCGCTAATGTTTGAGAGTTTAATCTTTTTATTCGCGTACTACGTCTGTAAGAAATTATTATTAATGGAATCAATATGTTTACCATTTTCTTCGTAAATCTTTTGCTGGGCTTGGTCGTTGGAAGTTGTGGAGACATAATCAGGATCCTGACCGTTTAGCGATTCTTCAGGAGCACTCATTTATCGCGTTTACACTTTGCTCAAGAGAATAAGAGTCATCTCAACACAGAATATATACAGCAGTTCTAGTTGGATTGGGATTGACGCGGCGGCATTTAAAAACACACGAGATAACATCGCCGAGTTAACAGTCTCTCGACACGTGTAAGTATATAAAAAAAAAGCTAGATTCAATATATTTCTTTCACCATTCAATAGCCTCGCCGAGCCTTCGTCTGAACGCTCAGACACACATTCTATCTCGCTCTTGTAAATACATATAAAAATTTCGGAGAAACTTATTCGCAGAGGTTAGAGCCGTCGTGGTTTCACTCGTGCTACCGCTTACCGCTTACAGCTTACAGCTTACAGACGATCGATATTTACAAGTTACAAGCGAGGGATAATTTAGAATTTTAGAAAAAAAAAACAACACCCCGGCATACGCGTCCGCGAGGATCCGATAACACACACGTTCGTCGGAATGTCGAACGTGATACCGACATTACCGACAGAACCACATCGTTGCAGCCCGATCACGTTTGGCTCGCTCGTTTGTCTGATTTGGCGTTGGCAGGTAAGGCAGGTTGGCACGCCAGTGTTTAGTGATTTTCTTGGACGCTTTTGCTAGGCCGTACAGTAGCGCCACACATCCACTTTCAGGAATTGGAAATTGGAACTACGATGAGTCACATTGGCCATTGGCCGCGTTCAGCAGACCCGCATATGCGCGTTACGGAACGCAGGGAATAAGGCCCGGTCTACAATGGATGTCGGAAGTCGGAGTCGTAAGAAATTGACCAATCACAATCTATTATTCTCCTTGCGGCCGAAGAATAATGAACTGTGATTGGTCAATTTCTTACGACTCCGACTTCCGACATCCATTGTAGACCGGGCATAATGATCATGAGCCATGTGCCATGTGAGTTCAAGTATAAAAGTGGAAAATATATATACTTTTTATGTACATTAGATATGATAATTTTTTAAAAACAGCATGACATCGCACGCAATATCTTTAATGTCATCATAAAATGTCTCAAGACAAGATAGGTATAGTTTTACCAGAGAGATCCTCTCTGGTGTTGTGTATCGCGCCATATTGGATTATTGGATATACCGATGCCAGAGTAGCCAACTGCCTACTCTTCGAATCCGTCATTTTCCCCTATCGAATGAAAATAGGGACTCGACGACGTAGAGGTCGTGGTGGTCGCGCGTGGAGTTGCGCTAAATTCAAATCTGCGCGTTCGCGTTCTCGGAATCTCGGTAAGCAGTCAAGCAGTGTAAATGAGTGATGAGTGTAAACACTCGGGGAGATAGGTTAACATAACATCTGTGGATGTGGATGGGTGATCGTTTGGAAACCGTTATGATGTTGATGGTGTTTAATAATAATAGAACCAGTCACACACAAGATTGTTTTCATACTTGTCGTGTCACGGCAAGAAGAAGAAGAACGCGCAGCGTCATGGACACGTAATCCTTGCTTCTTTCACGCAACGTAAACTTTACGTAATCTGTGCAAAAACACGTGCGACTCACTCGCAAACTATCAGCTTATTGTTAGATGTGATCGTTACGATCTACACGATCATTTCATTGACTGGATAACATTTTAAAATCATACTTGAGATGATAAACATATTTAATATATATCGCGGGACTATCGGGTTATTGAATATATATATCATCCTAGCATTCCTATAGCTGCAGCCAGTGTATACTGTATATAAAAGTGTGTGTTTCGAGTTTCGACGCGAATGTGTTTGTATTGAGAGCAGGTGATTGCAAAAGTTGTCAACAGATATTTGCAAGACATCTATAGACATCCGCATCAGATCTCGCAGCGTAATAATGACGTGGAACAGTGCGATATCTTGTCGTCGTTCGACGCTGCTGTTATTCCTCTGCTACTCCGCCGCATCGGTCAGAACGATTGCGCAATATTGCAAGGAGGGAGAATGCGGTGCGTTTTGCGAGGGTATGTAAAGGTCATGATCATGACTCGTAAATAACGGCCTCTTATCGATAATTAATTATTCTTGACGCAAAAGAAATGGTCTTAATATTCCGTTTATGCGACTTGAGAACTTTGAACCGTTTAGTTGAAGTTTTCAACGGTATATCTATTTGATTTGATATATACGTTCACTCACATTGCCGAGATCTGCCAAGTCTTAAAATAAGTAGGTACATTCTGCAAACTGCAGAACGACAGCAAGTCGTATGAATAACTGTAGGTTTTTTTTTTTTTTAAATAAAAATTGAAATAAATGACGTTATGAGAGATGGTAAATTTAATCATGTTAAATTGCTACCGCAAGTACATTGTTTTCTATAGACGTATTACTCGATCGTTTATATATCGTTTAAATGTATTACGTATAAATAAAACGTTCAGCACAATAGCAGTAGTTTAAAACGACTAAATGCGTTATTAAATTAAATAAGTGAAATATATTGTTGGATAAACCCGTTACAGTCACATATATACGTGTCGTTTTTATTGTGCTAATTGTTATTATAATTTAAACGATCACCGTCGGAATAGTGATAAGCTGACTAGCTGAGTGCTACGTTGGCATCGATTTCTTCCTGCATTTTGTTACACGTAAAATCATGCAAAGAAGATTAGCTATTATATAGCTAATAACTCGCGATGCCACGTGTCAAATCAGTACACTGTACATTCGCATGACGCATATCTACAAACTGAAAATTCTGTCGCGAAATACCGATACGCGATGTAAAATTTCATATCCACAGTTTATTTAACAGGCGCCTGTATCGGTTATCGTTATAAAAAATGTATCGCGCGAGTGTGCGAGCTCTTTGTTGTTATTGGCCTAGTTTACACCGTAACCGCGACCGTTTGGTACGCGTTCCAAATATACTATATTTGTATCAAATCCGTATTAAATCTCCGGTATAAATCTCGGTATAAACCGAGATTATTGATAAGGATTCGATACGAATGGTAAGGATACCAAACGGTCGGTATAAACTATTAGGCCAATCATATTAGTTTGTAGCCATAATCTATAGGCTCGTGTTGATGACTCTCGAGCCCGTCCTTTCGAGCGGATAAACGCTCTTTCACTTTTCGCTCAATCATTTATTCGTGTCGCTTTATCGTGCAAGCATGAACCGCGCTCTTCTGCAGATGTTTCTGCTCTTATTAACAATAAGCTTGTTTGTGTCCTTAGGACTATGCGAGCTCCGTTTGGAATTGGTTCAAGTGGTACGTACTCGCATTTAAATATACAATATATACATATAATATATCAGTATCGTTACAACATTTTGTGACAAGTGATTTAAGTCAAGTTAAAATAACTAAAAACATATGGTCCAGACGTCTAGAGCCTAGAGATGAGTACATGTATTACGTAAAATAAATTATAAATCGATAGAAAGTTCCTTTATTTCTGTGACAATCTAAAATCTAAATCAATGAGAAATACACACATAGTTTTGTAGTGATATATTTTATTTTACGCTTAAATATTAAATTAATGTACATATATTTAGATATGCTATTTTCTACATGCTATAATAATAATAATGTAATATATTACATATCAACATTACGTTGAACGTTGCAGCTAATGAGACATGGAGAACGGACGCCGAGACTAAAAGAAACTTTAATTTATCCCACGGACCCGTATAACGTATCGACTTATGAGCCGTGGGGTCTTGGCCAGTTAACCAATGTAAGTATAAATATAAATTAATACTATATGAATAACGTAATTATCAATATTTAAATATAATATTAATCTTAAAAAAAGTTTAAGTTACGACGTATTCTCTAATATTTTATTACATTAGTTTGTAATATATTTCACACATACTTTACACAACATTAACTTGTATTCAAGTCCCGTTTCGTAAATCTGTTATCTATATCTATATGTATATTTACTCACAATTCACATATATTCACCAACTTTTTTACTTGAATATTTTGCATCAAATTTTCTTCTCACTCTTTCAGTTTTATAAATATAATTAAAAATTGTAGAAAGTCGTTTATTATATATTATATATATAAATTTTCATCATATAAGCAATAAATAAAGAAATATTAAAATACAAAAATTAATACTTAAAATAAATCAATACTTATTCTATATATATATATATATATATATATATATATATATATATATATTATTTTATAAATATATATTTGCTTCTTTTTATCTCTCATATGTTATCTTAAGATTCTTCGCTAGGCGCTACTGATAACGTGCTACTGTGATAAATTATTGATAAACAACAGAAAATTAACTTGCTAGTTTTCGTCTTTCAGCAAGGAAAGCTGACGGAATATCGAATCGGCATAATGTTGAGGCACCGTTACAACAACTTTCTGGGATCGATCTATTACCCGCGAGATATCTACGCTGTTAGTACAGAGACTGATCGCACGAAAATGTCTTTACAATTGATGTTAGCAGGGTTGTACCCTCCAGATACATCACAAGTGTGGAATCCGGATTTACCGTGGCTCGCCATTCCTATTAATTATGTACCTGAAAAAGTAGACATATTATTAAAGCCTCAAAATTGTCCAACGTTAGTATTTTAGTTTTTAATAATAAATTTCGTGCATAACAAATAATATTTTTAATCATTTCCCATCCATTTCCTTAACATATTTTATTACACGTATAATTTTTTTTTAGATACAAATCAGCTTTAGCAGAAACGAAGAAGCTGAAAGAGGTGCGCGACAGATTTGCAGTTTACGAAGATTTCTACAAATTTTTGAGCGAGAAAACTGGAGTGGTTCAGAACGACCTACTAGACCTTTACAATCTGTTAACAGCACAAGTGAGCCGAATATTCAGACAACGTTTCACTTGAATAATAAAATATCTTTTATACCAAATATACAATAAAGTTATACTTTTTAATGTTCTATATCACTTGAGATTAAAGTTTATTAATGATTTATATGTGTAAATATGAAAATGTTTGATAATAATTAGTGCTATACGTTTCGCTCTTTTTGCATTTCAGAAAAACATGAATCTAACTCTGCCGGAGTGGTGCACCGATCAAGTGTATCGGTCGATGCAGGTGGTCATCGTGATGGAATATGAGATCCGCTCATACACGACTCAGTTGAAGCGGTTGAACGGTGGTATGTTGATCAAGAAATTCATCGACAACATAAACAAACGCCCAAATTCGCGCAAGATGTATGTGTACAGTGCCCACGAGACAAATATCGCAGCGTTCGCCAGGGCCCAAAATATTAGCGAACCGAAATTACCCAATTACGGATCGGCGTTCCTATTTGAGAAACTGCGGGATGATTTCGGTCAGATTTACATTAAGGTAATTGTATACAGTTTCTTTCAGGTATATATCCTAAGACCCTCTTAACACCAAAATGATAACAATACGTTTGCAAATTGTAGCAGCAAATTCAGAATTTCGGATCAAAATCTGTGTCCTCGTTAAGCTTGTGCTTTGCTTACAAAATTTACTGTTTATAAAATGAGAGCAAATTGACGCAAACAAAATCGCGCAAAATTTGCTAACATAATCTATAATCTAACGGCAAGTAGCCGGTAAAAACCGAACAAGAATATGCACGGCGCAATACGGCAAAGTAGGTAGCTGCAAATATCGAGCAAAACTTATTACGTTACGTAACTCAGTCATTCTCGACATTCCTCTTTCAATACCTTTAATTACCTTAAGCACACTATACGCGGAGAGAATTTTTTGTTATATTTTATCGTTAAATTCACCACAAACTTGGGACAACTTGCAATTCTGTCGTTTATTTGTCAAGAAAATTTGTTGCAGACACTTCATAAACTATGCTTTTTTTATATTTGGCTAACTGGGTCAATTGAATTATATCTATTAAATATAATCGTCTATTTCTTGTCGATAGATTTTACTCTGGACAGGCACCACAGGAAAGTTGGTGACCATTAAACTGCCAGGCTGCGATGAAGTTTGCCCTCTGGAAACTTATTTAGAGCTCGTGCGGAATGTGATACCTTCAGATAAGGAGATGACTTGCTTGTGGGATATTATAACTAGAGAAGAACTTTTAGAATTGTTTGCTGAAAAGCTAAATTTGGATTAATAAAATTTTGTACGGACTGAATAAAACCATATATACATATATATATATATATTTGTATGAGGCGTGAATTAAGTTTGGAGAATAAATGGAAGGAGTAGAATCACGTACAATGTATTAAATATTAAATTATTTTATTTAAAGTTATATATCTAAAATCAATTAGCGCATTAGGTGTTTTCATTATTATCTATTCCCATTGAAATCAATAATTGATTTTGTTATTAAATTGTACACTATTTTTTCCAAGTAGGCAGGATATTTTGTGTCAGCGTAATCCACAGTTTGTCTCTTGTCGCAAGCCATTTCTTTATCAGATGGAATCAAGTTTCGTATTAGACCCAAGAACTTGTCGAAACGACAGAGAGTTTCGCAATCTGGGATTTTAAGCTCGTCGATGATCGGCGGAATGCCCCGATAATATAAAAACTGTAAAATTATTACGTGGCATAAATAGTTGAATTCGTAATGTATTTTTGTTAATAAATAATTCAAATTTTGTTCATACAGGCATACATTTTCAAAATAATTCTAAAAATTAGAAAATTAATAATATATAATATTAACGATGTGAACAGCTTTTTATTCTCTACATTTTTTTTAATGAGGAATTATCTCTTTTTGTGTTTGTATTATCATTTACAAAGATACCTTGTGTGTATACTATTTAATAATACTGCAGTTACCTTTACATAATACTGGTTATTTTGCTGTAACAATTCTAGAATAATTGCGCTGGTGTATTCAGGTACAAGAGGCTTATACACGTTGAACGCGTGCAACAATGTCGCGATGTTAGTTTCGTGACCGCTGTATAAATAAATTTTCGTGTTCGATGAGTTTGCATTTTGTACGGCTAGCATATTCTTCGTTATGGCACGAATCATGGGGCCTGTAAAAAAATAAGCAAGTACTGTAAGAAAGATAATATCGTAGGCATTATCTACACCGGTGGAAATGGACAAAAGAACGTGAAAAACACTTTATCCCTACGATACTTTATCCCTACGATAATAACGTTGTGTTCATTCGCGTATGGTCGAGCACGGTGCACGATACAAAAGATAAGATTGTACAACATATGGAAATCTTTATTGGGGGTACCTTACACGCGTACGTTAGTAGTAAATTTATCAGCCCATAGTGTTCTTTTTTCCATTTCCACTAGTGTAATAGTAAACAAGTAAACCATTGATTATAGCTCTTACCAGCATACAACCTCTTTAATAAAGGAGTAGAATTTGCAATATTGTATGAAACTACGGTTCCATCGAATAGTGGACCGTCCGGAAAATAATCGTACGCCCATTCGGGAAGAGTCAGATTCATAGATGACTCCGCTACGAAGGTGTGATACAAATAATACATATCCAGAGGCTTTTCGATCTTCTTGCCGGTTAACCTGGTCAATTTATTCATCATGCCCGTGAATTGGGACAATCTTTTTTTCGTTGTAGGTAAATCCAGCACTCGATTATACTCCTTGAGGAACCTGAAAATAATTTCAAATATTATAAATCTCTTCTCGCGTGGAACTTTCAAGTTTCAGAATATGTATCTTTCTTGCATGTTCGTTTTCTTTATTTCTGTCGAGTTAAATCAGTCTGCTTACTGTGGACACTCATCAGGCAAGAAGAAATTATCATCAACACGTAGCACATATGACGTCGGAATCGGTTGCCAATTCAATGCGGGATTCCACCGTTGTCGAACATTTATTGGCGGAAACAAGGCGGCGAGAATCAATTGCAAAGACATTTTCGTTCTATCATAATCCGAGCTGTGACCCATAACGAGTTTTGGCAGATATAGATCTCCTAGAAAGTTTTTGTATCTGCGGTACAAAACTTGTCCTAATTCATACTGGCGCATCTTGCCTCGCTAGAAAATTGCATTAATTAATTAATCTTAAATCAATACCTACATTACACAAAGCGCATTTAATAAACTTTATCACCTCTGTACTTAAGCGCAATAACTGGTACAATATCCAAAATATTTTTAATCGATATATTCATGATTTTGTACCATTCAATTTTGTAGGAAATTAATTTAATTTAATATTATACATATTAATTCATTCTTTCAACAATATCACTTTTTTCCGAAGAATTCGAAAGAAATTGCACTATAATTACACTTACAACTGTCAACTGTCCTAAACCTTCCGGATAGAAGGAATAATTTAAATACGGATCATTCGGATACATTTCTTGTCCGCTTTTATCAGGTGTCCGATCACCATGTCTAAATACCTAATACGTAAAAATATAATATCGGTAATTAGTGGGACGATTGTGGATTTCATCTAATTGATCATCAACAATGCTATCAAATAGTATACTTACCACATTAACTAACTTGAGCTCAGGTTGCGCACTTGCAAGTAGAATAGCGTTTATGCCGATGATTAGACCAATCGACAAATAATTGTCGAGTATCAGGAACGAGACCATCTTGCTGGCACCTAATCTGGAGAAGTAATGCCATTAGTCTTATAGTAAATGCTTCCTCGAGAACGATAAATGTCGTGGCAGCGATAAACTGATAAAACCGAGATTCGTGTAAACAGGTGTGTAAAAATATGCATATTATATGCATATAATCTTTTGTTCGTGATAAAGCGATAGCTCGTTTACATCAGACGTAAAATAAATATGTGATGTTGCATTCGAAGAAATATAAAGATAAAGTTAAAATTTATGCTTTAATACGACTTTTCTCTTGACGTAAAGACAGATAAGGTACCTTCTTTTTGATCACTATAAAAATTCGTCGAAGCATGAACATACATTAATCCATTCGAAACAATACCGAGCTGAATCAATACACTATTTGTTTCAAGTTTGCATAGCTAGATTTTGATGCATAAATCTATAGTTTGCGTCTGTTTTATTTAGCACATAAATATATGGTATATATATATATATATATATATATACACGCACACACAAGGTCAGACAAAAAAGTTCCGGACTGATAAAATCAAAATCAAAATACGTAAAATACATAAAATAGAATAAAATAAACGAGTTTTACTTTTCTATATGTTCCCCAGCGACTTGTACACGTCGACGATATCGCTTGATAGATCTTGGAATGCTTGATTAAATGTAATCGCCGAACTCAACTTAAACAAATCCTCGATCGATAATCAAGCGATGTCATCGATATATAGAAGTGGAGAATATATTGAAAATTAAAAAGAATTTATTTTATTCTAATATATGTTACGGTGTTATAATTATTGCAGTCCCAAAACTTTTTTGTTTAACCTTGTTTGTGCAAATATATAAATTTTAAAATATACTTTAAGAAAGAATACATCATAAACGATTTTGTCCCGAAAACTATACTTGATCGGCGAGCTAAAGTTGGGTGATTCTTTTACTTTTACCACACAGCAAACGAAAGTTCTGTGTGAAAAATTGTATTTTCCATTGAATGAAAATAATATGAAATAAACTGTCGTGGCGTTGAAGTATTGAGAATAATTGTATTGATGATATTGAAAATCCAAAATGACGAATCAATCAACAATTACGGCTACGTTGAAATGAAAAAAGTTGAAATGAAGAAAAATTGCTTCTGAATGAAAATCAGGTATAAAAATGTCAAATAATGTGATAAAATTGTTGCAATAATAATAAAAAAAAAAGTTATCATATATATAGTTGCAATAAATATGAAATTCCGTAAAAATAGATTAAATTATTTATTATTTTTGCTTTCGAAGAATCACAAATTTTCCAACGTTACCACTGAGTGAGCGTAACCGCATAGATTGACTTGGCGGGTTTCTTACTCCGCTGCTTCGAGAACACAAAGGCTGCTTTTAGAGGGGATTTGTAGTAGGCATGTGTAATTCCCTCCTTCCCCCTCACTGTTTAAAAATGCTCTCGAATGAACTGAGAGTTAGCGTAACCAAGTGTGGTGTTTGAGGATTACATAGATGTATAAATTAGAGACAATTATATATGTGACTTAAAACAACAATGATAATGGGCACGGATTACAATTTACTTAAAATGGAAGCATATGCGTGGTGTAGATATTTAGTATCTGCTTGTAAATTGAAGCTATTGTATTGAAGCTTTTGTAATTTAATAAAGGAGCTTTCATTTTTATCTAGCTGCTGCTTTACACTCTGAACAATATAAATATGATTTAATGAGCTTCGAGGTCACGTAAATGTGTCAGTATGTATAATATTTAAAGACAATTGAATAAATAAACTTGAGATAAAATGATTTGGTGGAAAAAAATTTTATCGTGATATTCATGGTACAGGATATAATAATAAACGTTGAAAATTTTTCTAGACATTTATATTATAGTCAATTGAGAAAATACACGCGCGTTATCGTTGAATAATATAATAGCTCTTTTCGACATTGCTGATTTCTTAATTAAATTCTAATTCTGTAGGACATTCTCTGCAAGGGGAATATTTCATGCCGACTTAACTCGGAATCTTCTTGTTACAAGTCATCTCCTCGTCGGACGGCATCAAGTCTTCAATTAGATCCAGATACTTATCGAAGGGACACAGTATATCGCAGCCTGGAATTTTAAGATCCTCGATAGTGGGCGGAATGCCTCGATAATGCACGAGCTGAAAAAACCCATTATATGATATATAATAAAAATAATTAAATCTGTATTATTTCTTCTTTCATTATGGTTAATGTAACAATTATTTGTATAAGATATGCTTACCTTCACATAATACTCTTGCCCAATGTGTCGCAATTCCAGAATAACTGCGCTAGAATATTCGGGGACATGCGGTTTGTACACATTGAACGCCTCCAACATATTGACAACATTTAAATCGTGACCACTGTATAAATAAATCTTCGTATTCGGCGCAGCGGTTGGATTTTGTACAGCTATCATATTATCCGTCATAATACGGATCATTGGACCTGAAACAGTGCAAAAGTTTGTCATATAACATATGACATTATAATAATTAATTCTATTTAATGAAATTCTATATGAAAGTGTGATATAATTGTTAAAGAATCTATTACATTTATAATAGACTGAAGTTTTATAACAAATTTAAACTAAAAATTCATTGGATGTACTTTCTTCTTTCTAAATCAAAATTATGTATATCTAAGATTTGCATAATTTTAATTTCTTTTTAGATTTTTTGACGATATATCTCCAATATGTTAATGAATTTCATATGACCGTTAATATATGTATATTGTATACATGTTTTTAGTAATTGTTAATTTATATATTATTAAACAATGAAATTTTGTCAGACTTGTTTTTGCCAAGATAAACATAACTTACCAGCATTTAGTCTTCTTGATAAAGGAGTGGAATTAGTACTAATATTGAAGAAGGCTACTGCTCCATCCAACAATGCTCCATTAGGAAAATAATCGTATGCCCATTTGGGAAGAGGCAATCCCAAGGAAGACTCAGCTGCGAAAGTATTATAAAGAAGATAAAGATCTACTAATGTCTCTATTTTCTTTCCGGTTAATTTTGTCAAGCTGTCCATAGAGTCCTGGAATTGGGTAGTCAGTAATTGTCCTTCGGTCGAATTTAATATTCGAGAATATTCGTTCATGGACCTGAAGATTTTAAATGTAAATCAAATTATCTTATTTATATTAATTTTTGATATGTATAGATAATTAAGAAATTGATATACAAATATATCTTTTGTTTTAAATTAAACATTCTTATTATATTTCAAATATAATTTTAAAGATATTTCTTTGCTTGTTTTATTTGCTTTTCGATATACTTACTGCGGACACTCTATGGCTAGGAAAATACTGTCTTCCACACGTGGTGTGTACGATGTCGGAATCGGTTGCCAATTTAAAAAAAGGTTCCATCGTTGTACATTTCTCGGTGGAAATAAGCCAGCGAGAACAAGTTGCAAAGACATTTTTGTTCTATCTATCTCCGAACTATGACCAACGACTAAGTTTGGCGTATATAAACTGCCAAGAAAGTCATTGTATCTAGAACGCAAAAATTGTCCCAGTCTATATTCACGTTTCTTGCCTTTCTGTGAATAGTTATAAAAATTCGATCAATTCTAGTTGTCAAATAATATCCAACCGATTTTAAAAATAGAAAAGAAATTGATAACAATATAATTAATAAAATTAAAAAAACTTGAATATATTTATATAAAATCTCGAAGAATTAAGAAATAATTTACAAGCGTTCATATAAATTTACCGATCTTGTTCTCACTAGAAGTTTTTTAACTCATGTTATATAGATGATGACCTGAATGATATGTCGTACTTACCAAGGTCAATTGTCCGAAGCCTGTTGGATAGAAGGTATAATTTATATACGGATCATTTGGATACATTTCGTGTTCGTTGAGATCAGGTGTTCGATCGCCATGTCTGAATACCTATAGAGAGAGGAGGGTGAATAAAAATAATAATTAAAGCAATTACGGATTATTATCTGCGATTTATAAAATCTGGAATGTAATAAAAACTAAATTAGAGAGAGAGAGAGAGAGAGAGAGAGAGAGAGAGAGAGAGATTGCGTGTAATTGCGCGCGCGCGTTTTTGTGTGTCTGCATATGTTTAATTATCAAAAATATTATCCAAGTGCACTTACCACATTGACTAATTTAAGCTCAGAAGGCACAGCTTCGATCAAAATTATGTTTAAACTAATAATAGCAATTGATAAATAATTATCAAAAATGTTACACGAGACCATTTCGTTCGTACCCAAAATCTGAAAATGTAACGTCATTAAGCTGATAGAGCTATAGATTTATTAATACCTATTAAATTAATATTAATTATTAAGACATTTTCAAGAATTAGAAATTTGATAATTTTTATATTCATCTAGGTATGTTAAACAACAATTTGAAATGGAGATATCTTATTCTTATATAATTTTTAATTGTTAGCACAAAGAACACAACACTTTTATGATTAAAGCTGCAATATCGCAAATCCTAGTTCCAGTTTAAAACTTGGTATTCTATTATGTAAATAATAAAATAATAATTCTTAATAATTCGAAAATTATAGAAATTGACGCATATATGTATATATATATATTTGACATATAAGTAGACTGTATTCTTCGGAAAATAGATTATAATTTTAGTGTTTTATGAAGTAGCTCGCTTGTCGTTAAACTCGAATTGAAAAAAAATCTGTTCAACTACCGAATGTAAGGATTTATTGAATACTGGCTTTTTTTCGTGACACATAAAGCTTTTAAGGTGTTGGAGCGTACACCCCACCATATTGTAATTTCTGCCCGAGCCAGTTTATCGGACGTCGTACCGCGTGACGCATATATGTATAAATTTGTAGCAGAAATTCATTTCCTGGTTTACTTTTCTGAAATTACATAATAAGTTTTATTTCTTTTGATTAGCATTAAGCTTATCTTGGAGAATTCGACTTTTTATAAACTTTTTATACAGTGCTAGGTATACTTTATTGCGCATGAAAATACGTCGCGGGATTTAGAGATCGCAGAGCTTTCCGTCACATATAATGTTCCGTCGCAAATTAATTGCTAGCAACGAGGAAGAAGATGCGTTAGGAATTGAGTGAACCTCCATGCAATACGAGAAAATCTCACAAATGCCCTGAGAATACCGATGAGTAAATGAAATATCCTTAGAATTTGAGCAAATTCTTATGTCATGATGTCGTTCTTAAAATGATGATGACGTCGAGAAAGAATGCCCAGTTAAATAAAATATAATTTTTATCACAAATGTATATTTTTTCAGCGAAATTCTAGTTATAAATAAACAAAATAATCTCGCTCGACTAAGCAGAAGCTAAATAATTTAAAACGGCCAATTTTCGAGCATTTACAAGATGTTAAAATTATATTTAATAATTTCAATAGTAGGCATACAGTCGTTGACGTTTCGTGCCTTATTTGGCCTTCTTCAGAACAATAAAAAACTAAACGCATTACAAATGTCTCGTATCAGTGTCCATGGGGGGAACAGTGTCGACGCATTGAGATTTGCATTAAATACAGTAGATCTCACCCATGATTCATTCGTTCATTCGAATTCAATAGATATAAATTTACTTGGTTCTTACGGGAATTTTTTAAAAAATTGTTTTATATAGTTGCCACTATATATAAGTTGGTCTGCGATGAGTTTCTCAATGTCTGAGTTTCTCAATTAGGATGGTTTCACGGACACACACGAGTCAATGCAACGAAGAACATGGCTGATTCTGTATGTAATTTTGACGAATATTCGACAATTTATTCTCGAATTTATTCTCTTTATTGATTTCACTTTGACTATCGGTCCATGTTCATGGGTGAGATCTACTGTATTTAATGTAAATCAATGCGTCGACACTGTTTCTTTTATGGATATTGATACGAGACATTTGTGATGCGTGTAGTTTTTTATTGTTCTGAAGAAGGCCAAATAAGGCACGAAACGTCAACGACTGCACACCACTGAAATTATTAAATATAATTTTAACATCTTGTAAATGCTCGAAAATTGGCCGTTTTAAAATATTTAGCTTCTAGATATAATTTTATTATAAATTTAGAAATACATATATTATATATAATATCTAAATTTTTCTTGCCTTTTATGACATGATTATTCAATATGTTATGTGTATAAAAATCGCGTCACAGAGCATTTATATTATTTTCTGTTCAGATTCTTTTGCTTATATGAATGTAATAAGGTTGCAATTGATGTTGTATAACGTAATCATAGAAATTCATGGTTTTGGTTATTATGCGCGTACGTTTGAGATTGCGAAAATTACATCAAAGTGCTGTTATTTATACAGCAATGTACATAACTGTATTAAGATAAGTGCTATAATGTCGAAAAATATTTGCAGATTTGAATTGTTATACAGTAGCTAAATTAATTAATAAGAATTAGATTAATAATACCTAATAAACTCAACAAATAAATTAGATGCATGTTAGATGCAATAATAATTTAATAATTTAATAAGAGACAATAATTTAATAATTGCGAAGCAACAATTAAATTGAAAAGGATTATTCCGGTATCGAGGATTGAAGGCTTCAGGCATTGAATGATAAAAGACACGTAAAAAAAAAAAAAAAAATAACGCTTGTCGCGTAATACACATTGATGCAATTTTCAACAATTTTCGCATTTTCAAACGTACATGGATCTGAAAGAAATATTCTGAAAACTGATATTTGTAAAGTACATAGTATTTTTCCGTCGTAAAACTAGGTTACAGTGGAGAATAAATAATTTTGAGATAACACGCGTCCTCCGTATAAATATATGCACAGTATAAATATAACTGACAGTAACGAAGAGATAATTACTGCGACCGTGAACGTAATGACCAATCAATTGCATTTATCTACGCACAAAAGTAAGAAGACCATTAGCTATTTAACTATTAAACAGTGTTGTTATTCATAAAAATATGAAATTATCGTACGAGGACATACTAATACACAATAGTAAAAAAGGATAAATTTAGAAAATCTAAATAAAGATACAAATGAATAGTTGTCATGAAAACGTTTCATTTATCAATGTTATAATTCTTTTTTTCGTTACACAATGATTAACTATAAACAAATAATAATTTACGAGCTAACAATGGATAGTTTATGATTACGATAATATGATAATACAAGTGACATTATTTCATCTAATTAATTCCAACGTTATTTGAAACAAACTATACGCAAACGACGTAGTCTAACGTTGAAATTAAAATAATTAATTTTATATATATGGTTACATATTAGCGATTGAGTAATTGGATAACATCTTTCGATAGGATCACGCTTATTTGTTTTGATCTCATCATCCTTCTGCTAATTATTATATATTTTAAGTTAAATATAACTAATAAAATATTTGGAAAATTAATTAGTCCCCGATTTTACGTTTTTATCATCGCAGATGCTACACCGTTGCTTAACGAATAATGATGATCGTAATTAATCAACAACATTCGAACAATCCGTGATTGCTTCCACGGTATTCACCGTATACATTTAAGATATGACTATAAATCATAACTTCTGTCTGATACCATTGTATTTTAGAGACGTGTATAATTAAGAGAAAAAAATTCGTGAAAAATCTCTTATCGTAATATTATGGCACAGAGTGTAAACATTTATCATCTTTTAGACCTTCATTAGCCAATTAGTAAGACATACGTGTTATCACTGAATGTTCTCTTTGATTGCTGATCTCTTAATTAAATTTTCTAGGATATTTTGCAAGCCAGCAGGATATTCCGTGCCGGCATAACTCGGAGTCTGTCTCTTATCACAAATCATCTCCTCGTCAGACGGGATCAAGTCTTCAATTAAATCCAGATACTTATCGAAAGGACATAGTATATCGCACCCTGGAATTTGAAGATCTTTGACGGTGGGCGGAATGCCTCGATAATACACGAGCTGAAAAAACCCATTATATGATACATTATAATAAAAATAATTAAAAATCTGTATTATCTCTTCTTCTATTATTGGATAATGTAACAATTGTTTGTATAAGACGATTACCTTCACATAATACTCTTGACCGATCTGTTGCAATTCCAGAATAACTGCGCTAGAATATTCGGGGACATGCGGCTTGTACACACCGAACGCGTGCAACATACTAGCAATGTTGGTTTCGTGACCACTGTATAAATAAACTTTCGTCTTTGGCGCAGCAGTTGGATTTTGTGCAGCTATCATATTGTCCGTCATAGAACGGATCATTGGACCTAAATCAGTGCAATAGTTTATCGTAATGACGTTATAATAATGAAATTCTACATAAAAGTGTGAACATTCAATTGTTGACAAATCTGTCACATTTGTATAATAGGCTGGAGTTTCATAACAAAATAAAATTAAATGTACTTGGTTTCTTCTTTCCCAATCAAAATTATGTACAAGATTTGTATAATTTTAATTTTTTTTTTAGATTTTTTGAAAATATATCAAATTGATAAATTAATAAAATTCATATAATTATTAATATATTTCTAATAATTATTAATTTATATATTATTAAACAATTAAATTTTATCGGACTGATAACTGTTTTCGTCAAGATAAACATAACTTACCAGCATATAGCCTTCTTGTTAAAGGAGTAAAATTACTAATATTGTAGAAGGCCACGATTCCACCAAACAATGCTCCATAAGGAAAATAATCGTATGCCCATTCGGGAAGAGGCAATTTTAGGGAAGACTCGGCCGCAAAAGTCTGGTAAAGAAAATAAAGATCTTCTAATGTCTTTATTTTCTTGCCGGTTAGCTTTGTCAAGTTGTCCATTAAGCCCTTGAATTGGTTAATCTTTGCTTGTCCTTGAGGCGAATTCACTATTCGATTGTATTCGTCGAGGTACCTGAAAACGATTTTAAATGTAGATCAAGTTATCTTATTTATATTTATATTAATTTTTTGGATAGGTAGATATCTAAAAGATTGACTAAATATAACTTTTTTTTTTTAATATTCTTATTATATATATTAAATATAATTAAAGATTACACACACAAACCACTTAAAGATTAATTTTTCGTTTTCTTTGCTTGTTTTATTTATTTTTCGTTACTTACTGCGGACACTCGTCGGCCAGGATGATATTGTCGTCGATACGTGGTGTGTATGATGTCGGGATCGGCTGCCAATTTAAAACAGGATTCCATCGTTGTACACTTGTCGGTGGGAATAAGCTAGCGAGAACAAGTTGCAGAGACATTTTTGTTCTCTCAAAATCCGAGCTACGAGCTACGACTAGTTTTGGTGTGTATAAATTGTCAAGAAAGTCATTGTATCTAAAGCGCAAAAATTTTCCCAGTCTATATTCATGTTTCTTGCCATCCTGTAAATAATCACATAAATGCAATCAGTTAGTAGTCAATAAGTGAAATGCAATTGTTTTTAAATAAAAAGTAGAAAGAAGTATAGTTGAAGTAGAAAGAGAATTGTAAACAATATATTTAGTAAATTAAAAAAATTATAATTTATATGTATAAAATCTCTTCTCGAATAAGAAATAATTACAAGCACCGCAAAAATTTGCGACTTAATCTCACTAGAATTAAGCTCTTGTAACATATAATTCTCTTAACGTTAATTCTTACATTTTTTATAGAATTCATTCTGGATAATATTATGTCGTACTTACTACAGTCAATTGTCCGAGGCCTGTCGGATAGAAAGAATAATTTATATACGGATCGTCCGGAAACATTTCACGACCGTTATTATCGGGTGTCCGATCGCCATGTCTGAATATCTGTAAAAGGATGAATAAAAACAATTATTGAAATATATACGATCGCGGATAATATAATCTAGAAAATAATATAAAAATTAAATTGGAGAGAGAGAGAGAGAGAGAGAGAGAGAGAGAGTGTGTGTGTGTGTGTGTGTGTGTGTGTAATGTTTAAATATTAATAGTATTATCTAAATGCACTTACCACATTAACTAATTTAAGCTCAGAAGGTACACCTCCGATCAAAATTATGTTTAAGATGATAAAAGCAATTAATACATAATTATCAAAAATATTACCCGAAATCATGTTGGTACCTAATCTGAAAATACAATAGGTTCATATAAGTATGCAATAATTTGAAGTAAAGATATCTTATTCTAATATTATTCTTTTTAATTGTCAGCAAGAAAAACACAAGACTTCATGATTAGAGCTACAGTACCGTAAATTCCAAATGATGAAAAAAGTCTTGATTTAAAATTTTGTATTATATAAATGATGAGATAATATTTATAAATATTTTTTAAAAACTGTAGAAATTGACGCACATTATGAGATATTTGACGTATAATTAAACCGTTTTTTTCGGCGTTTGATGAAGTAGCACTTGTCGTCAAACACAAATCGGAAGAAATCTGTCCAACTACCGGTTGTAAGGATTAATTGAATACTGCCTTTTTCTCATAACATGTAAGGCTTTTAAGGTGCAAGAGCGTACACCCCACCATATTGTACTTCCTGTCCGAGTCATTTTATCGGACGTCGTACCGTAAACGTTATGACGCACGTAACTGTAGGAGAATCCATGATTCAATTTTTCGGAAATTATACATTTAAAAGTTCTATTTTTTTTTTTATCAACATTCTAAACTTTACTCTGAGAATAAAACTTTTTATAAACTTCTTATACAATGCTAGACATATAATTACGTACGCGGCACGAAAGCACGGCGGGGGGTTTACGCAGAAATCGCAGGACTTGACATCACAGAATATTCCGCCGCAAATTAATTGCGTGCAGCAAGGAAAAAGATACGTTAGTCAATCGCCACTCATTACGGAGAAATCTCATGAGTGTCCTGAGAATGCCGAGTAAATGGAATATCCCTTTGTTGGAACTTGAGCAAATCCTCGTATAATTATGCCATGACGTCGTTCTTAAAATGTTGCTGACGAGATCAAGGATATTCTGTTAAATAAAATGTAATTAACACAACAAAAATATATTTTTTTAAGTAAAACTGAGATATAATTTTATTATTAATTTAGAAATAAATTATATGACACCGGAATTTTTATCCGGTGTCGCCTTAAGAAACGATCATGAAATATTATATAATGCGTGAAATATATACGTGTGTATGAAAAACACGTCACAGAGCACTTATATCATTTTCTGTTCAGATTCCTTTGCTCATATCATATGAAAAAACGTATAAAATGCAATTGATGTTATATAACGTAATCACAATAATTCATGGTTTTTTTCATTACACGTACGTTTGAGAATGTGAAAATTGCATCAAAGTGTCGTTATTTACACAGCAATATACATAACAGTATTAAGATATCGTATTAATAATGTTGAAAAATATTTGCAGTTTTTAATCATGTCATTCAGTAATTAAATAAATTAGTAAATGCGTTAGAGTAATAATACTTGGTAAACTCAATGAAAAAATTAGATGTACCTTATTTGCTAGACTTAAATTGCGAAGCAACAATTACTAAATTGAAAAGGATTATTTCAGTATCGAATCAAGAGGCTTTAGGTAGTGATTAATCAAAGGCGTATAAAACAAAAAAAAAAAAATGACGCTTGTCACGTAACGCAGTGATTGCATAATATTGATGCAATTTTCGCATTCTCAAACGTACACGAAGAAATACATATCTAAAAGAAATACTTTGAAAACTTGCACGATGTTTGTAAGATACATAGTATTTTCCTCCTGTTAAACTGGATCGCAAATATAGCAGAGAATAATTCTGAGATGAACGCATCCTTCGTATGAAATATATATATAACTGTAATAATATAATTATTGTGTGACCCATAAATATTTGGTAGTGACCAGTCAATTGCATTTATCTACACATAAGTAAGAAGATTATTAGCTATTAGCTAATCATAACCGTATTGTCGTTATGTAAAAGTATGAAATTGCTCTACGAAAACTATATATTATTCGCGAATGCTAGAACAATTTCTATACTAATTGAAAGATATATAGATAATTCGTATTCACGTGATTTATCGCAAAAATCACATGCGTCGACTCGCGCATGAGATCACAATAATTTTAATTAAAACAACTTTATATTAATTATTAATAAATAAAACGATTTCAGCGAAATTATATCACAAAAATAAATACTTGCGGACAACTTCTTATCCGCGATATTAATAACAGTAGATATATTTACACATCTACTATCACGCACAAAATTAAAAAAAAATGTTTTTTTTAATTTAGAAGATGCATCTCGACTTATGTTTCTCAATTTATTCGCATCAATCTGCCATTCGCGTCATAACTCAATAACGGTCTTCATGTATAATTAGCATAATTAATGATATGACAAGGCTGCTTTTAGAATACTCTGTATCACGAATTGAGCAGAGCACAAATACGAGAACGTTGCCGTATGAATATTTAATACTAGTCATAAAATTTCAAAATGTCAAAAGATCCCAGCACACACTTTTGCTCCATTTGAATGTATTAGGTATACGTTTATGTAGATTTGTAAATTTGTACATTTTTATATATTTTTATAAAAATTCTACGGATAATTAATCCTCTTTCCGCGACAAGAATGTCGAGCAGTAGTTTTTTAAAGCGATTTTAAGTCATGAGCGATTCGGTATAATAGATGACGTTCCGCGAATATAATTCTCGTGATAAAAATAGAACTCTGTTATTAGATGAGGAAGAATCACTTACACTTCATAGTGATTATGCAGCAAATCGGGGATACCCGATTCGTTCGTAATTTTTCATGTTTTCCGGCTTTTCCCAGTACCGTTCTGACGATATAATCGTTCGTTTAAAAGCAGCTACTTATTACCTGAGTGATTTAACGTTACAGAATATTTGTAGTCTAATGTTGAAATTGAAATTTTATATATATGGTCGCATATGTGCGCGATTGAATAATTGGATAAGATTCTTCGATAAGATACTTTCGATATTCTCTCCTTTCTTCGAGCCTGCGAATTATTCTGAATATGTAAACAACTCTTCTTCTATATCACACTTGTTTGTTTTGATCGCAACACCCTTCTGCTGACTATAATCAAAGTTATTTGAAGAATCAATTAGTCTCCGACTTCGCATTTGACATATCGGCGAGTAATATTTTATCATCATAGATGCTATCACATCGCTTAACGAATAATGATCGTAATTAATCAACATCGACATTCGAACGATCCGTGATTGCTTCTCAACAGTACTCAACGTATACTCAACATATATATTTAAGATAAGATGTGACTTGTGTCGGATTCCATTGAATTTTGGAGACATGTATTGGAAGATAATAGAAACATATATATTTTAATATTCCAAAGATTCGTTAATTTATATATTTTATATCATTCCTCGTAAAGATTAGATATCTGAGTAAATAAATCTGAATAAACTGAATAAATATGCTTCTGATATTTTTCTTTGCTCGTTTCATGTTTGGAATCATATTAATATTTTTATGTGCTGTATATCAATTAACGTAGATCAATGAAATATTGATCGCAATTTACTACGATAACATGTTACTTAAGATACTGACAGTGTTATCGTTAATGGTTAATTATGGATGTTAAAATTATTTTCTGGCATTGGTCTTTGCTGCGACTTATCATTAGTTGTCGTGAAATATACCGCGGAGGGACACTATCTTCGTGATACCGTAATTAACATGTATCATCACCGACGACGATCACGTTTTCTTATGCTTGCTATGAATGATACGATCTCGTGTATCACGTGCGATATGTATGGATTACGAAATTGCATGATATAAACGTCAGTACATAGATTAATTAAGCACATAAATGTTGATACTTAAATTACTACACATGTATAATTGTAAAAATTGTTAACCATATTATTTATTTTTATTAAGCGCAATATTACTATAACAATAATTGAATTAATAAATTTTTGACTTAATGTTTTAATATAATTACTAAATTGAAAAATATTAATTATCTTAATTACTAATATAAATGAATTTATCAGTGTAATAAGATTTTTTTTTAGAAACGTTGAAATTTTATAAGTTTTTGTGAAAACTGTAATTACTCTGCACTTATCAAGATGTTAATAGTTACTGAGATCACGAGTAAAACGCATGATCTTTATCAAAGTAAGTGTTCCAACGACTTTACATTTAGCAGAAATATTTTCGACAGTAATGAAAAGTACTACAAGTTTATGATATTTTCAATTACACTCATTTTCCCATTTTGTATCTTTAAAAGCATTTGAATATTTTTGCATATATTATCAAGCTTTATTAAATAATGATATATTTGCTTAAACACTTGATTAAAATCACCTAACATATGAATTAATCATAACTCTTTTATTAAAATTTAACTGTTCGATATAACGTGCTGCTCACGGGTAAGTTGTTTAACTAGACTCATTTGACGCAATGTTTGTTTGCCTAATTGCCGAATATACTTAACTTGCTCTCGTCGGCCGAGCCACTGATTGTTATCGTCGTACAAATGAGGTAGTATGGTAAGATAACTGGTAGAGGTAAAGTCGAGAGATAAGTGCATAGCGTGCATAGTAATTGCATCGCTCATTGTCAGTGTTTGTGCAGTTTTCAGTCCGAGGAGAAGAAACAAGAGTCGAAAAGCAAGTATTTAACAAAAAGTATGTTGTTTCAATTGCGAATAAACGAAAAAGTATAGGTATGATGTTATACAAAATTTTTCGGGGTGTCAATTTTGTTACAAATATAAACTTTTCAAATTGTATCTCGTTGTTTCTTCTAGATATTTCTTTCCAAAGTTGACATTCATACGTTTATTATCTTATGTGATATAAAATCTGTCATCAATAATAATTCGAGTACAATTATCAGATTATATGTATGTTATGTGAATAAGTTATGCCAGCAGTGAAGGTGAACAATTATTAGTATAAAATGATAAATATAGGTAAAAAGAGAATAGTATCCAAATTTCGAAATAATTAACAAGCTACATGTAATGAACTTTAAATATTGCTAATTAAATCCTGTTATAATGACGATAAGAGAAGAAAGCGAAAATATGCAAATTGTCGGCTTGTCAGAGGCATGTCTTATCGCAATTAACTTGTACGTTCTGATAACGCGGATCTGTATTTATCAGTCAGCTGCGGATACAAGTGGTCTTGGTTTCGGAAGCGTCGCGGCAGACTAACCGCGTTTTGCGGATGTGAACGGAAATATATAAAAGAAAAATTCTTATCTGGACTATATATGACCACTCATATAATATCACAAACATAACATTTTTCTCTCCTTCGGCCTCTATATTTATATATGCTTATAAATTTAAAGTAAAACAACGTTATAAATTAATTAAGATAAAATCAAAGCTTCAAGCACATCGCAAGTATCCAAATTCTTCAATATGTGAAGTTTTGAACAATTTTCTGTGCTAAAACACATTTTAAAATATTACTCTCCAGCATCAAATATTCAGGAAGTCGAAGCTATCGATAAATTGTCTGCATGAGAAGTTGATAAAAGTACACGAGGACTGCATTCGGGGAGCGCGCTATTAGCGCTTTTTGCTTATTCTATCCTTGTTTTACACTTAATGAGCGATAAAGACAGAATGTTACAATAGCGCTAATAGCTCGCTCCCCGAACGCAGCCTACAGGAGCCTAAAGACTCGTCTACAATAGCCGTAAGAGTAGTAAGGGCCTTGGCACATTGGCACATGGAAAATCTTTAGTAGAAGACTTAAGCAGTAAGCAAATTGACCAATCTTAACTAAGTTTTCAAAAATTCTTGACCGTGATTGGTCAATTTGTTTACCGTTAAATCTTACTGCTTAAATTTTTCTACGTGCCATGGCCCTAAAACGTAAGCAATAATTGACTAATAAGAGCCACTATTTCCAACGTCTGTTAACTTCTAACCAACCGTTAACTTTTCAGAATAGCCAATACAGAAGTTGGCTATTTCGAAAATTAATGATCGGTTTAGAAGTTAACAGACGTTAAAAATAGTCCTAGTGGGATTTTTACAGTTCAAAAATAATCGACTGCGATTGGTCAATTTTTACTGCTTATGTCTATTATAGAATGGGCTTCAAACAGATAGAGCACAAATGAGTTGGCCAATCGTCGCAGTCAGCCAACTAATTCGTGCTGCTTGAAATTCTTTCCGACTTGATCCTCCATTGCTCTCGCGTTAGGCGAGCGCTAACAATTATATTTTATTTCTTTAATCATGCATAGATATGGCATAAAAGTTGATTCTGAATGTCAATGTCACGCTAATGCAGTGACAAACATACAAGCACGGCGCAGCGCTAACACGAAAGCATCACTCACGTTCGTTTGTCGAACGAGGGCAATGGAAGCCGGAAGGGTATTGGAGAATCAACACTAGAAACTACCAAGGTCAAAATAACTTATTTAACATTTTTAAAAATAATTATTATCTATTTCTAAAACATCACAATTTCTAAAATTTTCTTTGACTTTTTATTAAAATATACAGATATTTAATTTTATAAACTTTTTTTCTTTTTTCTCCCTTTTTTTTTTTTTTTGACCCCTCGGTAGAGAGGGTTAGATGTAAATTAATCATTGGTGATTCGGTAGAAAGGGTTATTAGGTATATAGGTAGATTTTTGGTACTTTCTAGTGTTGAATCGTTACAACGCTCTATTCTACTACGACGACTACTTATCGTTTGTGCCATGTGCTTGTATCGTCTTTCTCGATCTCAGTTGCGAGATTCATCGGCCGCGTTGTCATATATTATTGTTGACGAGCGATTTAAACCTTCACCTGTCTTTTCTTCAGTTTCATATCAGTCCTATATTACTTGTAATTATATTTATATTTGTTGTTAAAGCGCTGTACTCTCTAATATCTGTTTCCCGAAGAGAAGACGCGTAAAAATGGCCGGGCTACGGTTTGTCGGCATCATGCTCACATTATTTGTCTGCATACTTCCCGGTTTAGCTGTAAAAGAATTAAAATTAGTGCACGTTGTAAGTACATACATATCTCATTTTAAACGTAAATTAATATATACACAAGGTGGGTGCGAAATCGTAGTACAAGCGAGAACAAAGGTCGAAATTCGAAATATATAGTCAAGTGCACGTGTACTTGATAGATTTTCAAAATCGTTTATTTCGAAAACAAAGCCTCGCGTACGAAAAAAATTATTCTACAATTTTAACTTATTTTGACACGAGAAATCACGTTATTATCGTTTGTATTACGATTTCGCACTCACCCTGATGTATAAGAAATATGATGATTATCGATGTGGTTGCAGCTGTTCGCGCATAAGTTGTACGCGCCGTGGGATGACGATGCAAAAATCAACGTGACCAGTATCCCGAAAACTTTATCATACGAAAACTTTATTTCCGCCACGACGAATATACCAGTGGTATGTGTAATATAATTAATCTTTTAACTTGATATCAGTATAAAATTACCGGATTAGAAATTCATCATATGTCTTGTGATCGAGCAGAGTGCAGAGCTCAACATATACAAACTCGGGGTGTATTTGCGGGAGATCTACAACGATTTTTTGGGCAACACATATACGCCCGAAATTATGAAGGCACGTACAACGGAACATTCCTTGTCGATTTTATCGGCCCAGCTCGTTAATGCCGGTTTGTGGCCGCCTGCAGAAAATCAAATATGGATTGAGAATCTCAAGTGGCAACCGATACCAACTGGTAATAAATAGAACTGTATCTCGATCTTTATATGTCTCTTATGTATATCCTAATGTCCGTAGGACAATTATTCCAAATCGGAATACAATCCACAAAATTATTTTCTACTATTATACTTCCTCAAAGTATATTTTATAATATAACATTGTCTTTTTTTTATGAAAATTAAATCATAGACACGACAAAAGTACAAATCTAATTAGACAATATATCTAAATTAAGCAGTGTTGTAAAAGTTAAATTTATTTCTTTACGTAACATTGATAAATTCTTGCAGATTACCTGGAATTGGAAGAGGACACATTGATGCTGGGTTCTCTATGTCCGAATTTTATTTCACAGATGAACCAGATATTGCAAACAACCGAAACCCAAAGGATGCTAGCTCAGTATCAACCTTTGTTCAATTATCTTACTAAACACACTGAAAGAAATATCAGTACTCCATCGGATGTGGCTCTCTTGTACGCTACTTTAGAAACGTTGGTAAGTCTGCAAAGTAAAATATATTAAAGTAATCGAGCTCTTTTTCTAAATCTGAATGACCTACACTATCTTCTTAAATAATACTTAATCAAAATATCTTAAAAAAAGAGGAAATCTCTCAAGTTGACTCGCTTTTTTTCTTCTTTTATAAATTTGTCAAATCTCGAAAAGTATTAACAGAATATATTTTTGTGAATTGTATTCCATCAGTGTAATAGTTTTGTACATAATTATACAAATAATTAGGCAGAGCGAAATGATATGTTACCCAATTGGGCGAAGGACGTGTTCCCCGATGGTTCAATGCGCAACGTCACCTTGTTGGAATATGATCTTCTTTCGGCGACTCATCTGCAGAGACAGTTGAACGGTGGAATCTTTTTAGGAGAGATTATCGGTAACTCGTTAAAATATATAGTAGGCGATATATCAAGGAATCGAAAAATGATGGTGTATAGCGGTGACGCGAGAAACATCGTCGGGGTTCTGAAAAATCTTGATCTCTGGTCGCCTCACATTCCCAATGAAGCGTCTGCGTTGATATTCGAATTATACTTCGATAACGATACGGGTATTCACGGGATGAAGGTAACTTCACTTTTACTTCCTAGCTCTATTTATTGTTTAGAATATTTCATGTTCAGTTTTTACTCAACTATTCGATTCAGGTGTTTATTATTGTTATTTAAAAATGCTCCAGCTGTCGTTAATAACTTGAAACAATACTGAAATTATTTCAGATTAATTATTACATGGATATCGACGACACGATGATCACTCTGACACTACCAAACTGCACAGATATATGTCCACTACAGACTTTAATAAATGCCACTATCAATCTAATACCTCAGGACTCGCGATCTTTATGTGGCTGGTCTACCGAAAACTTAACGGCAGAGAAAAAAAAGGAGGAATTTAACTCATCGAATTACAATGGATTCATTTCGTATCAAAGCAAGATTTTAATATTTATTTTAATATTATTTTATGTAGCTTTTAATGTTTAAAGCACGCATATACGTAGAATTTTAAATGTTAATTTTAGTGGGATAACATCAACATTTTCTCTTTTATTTTTATAAGACTTTTATATGTATAAAACATGAAGACAAAAAAATATAATGTAGGTAGATAACTAAATGTATGTAGGTAACTCTAATTAATATTGTACGCTTTGATCTTTGAACTTTTAAAAATGTTATATGTTATCTTCATGTTAGATTGCGAGATTAGCACGACGGACTAGCGAAAGTGACTTTTCGGCGAATTGTACAAAATAATGCTTCGTGAAAACTACCGCACTATTTTCCAAAGCATTTAACCATCGCTTCTCCGCAGTATCCAAGTCTAAACCTATATATTCAAGTTCCTTGTCAATGTATCGTAATTTCCAAAGATCCGCGACATGAGGTATAATTTTTTCCACAAATCGAGATCTTTGGTCGCTCGGTATAATTGTACGATATTTTCCAAAAGCGATGTTTAACGCGTAAAATACCAAATGCACGTGATTTATCACGACATGGGTGTTTTTCCGAATTTTCCCCTCATTTTTGGTCAGCACAGACTGAAGCGATTTTAATTTCGTCACCAAGTAATCGATTACCTTGACGCATATCGGCAATGAGTTACAAAACTCCAGGATTATTTGTACACGATATATCCATATGGATGTCTGGAAAGAAAAATTTATTGTATAATTATATTGCATAGTTATTGCTACTCTATTTTAAATAATTTCCAAACATTTCTAATAATGATTTTATATATATGCACATATATTGTTTTATATAGTATATATACATATATTTATATTTGTATATACATATACACACACATAAAATATATAAAATATGTGTATTTATATATATTTTTTGTTTATGTATATATATTTTTTCAAGTTGTCAATATGTATCATGTTATATATACTTGATTGATGTAATATTTGTAAATATAAAGAATGCATTATATAATGTAATATACCTCGGTAAAACTTGTCTGGTTTTCACGCATTATCTCATTCAGAGTTTTGACTATTGCTGTCACGATTACTTTTATGCATATGTTGGGCTTCTTCTCTTTTGTAAAAATATCAGATATATTCAGTACCGTGTTCACAGCTTCCTCTTCCAAACTATCTTTCCAATAAATATTCCTCTGCCGTTTCTTCATCACGTATTCCTCCATCGTTTTCTTATCGCAAAGCGTCGAGAGAATCACTTTAGTCGACTCGGTGATTACACGGTCTATACGTAGCGACTCTAGAGTCAAATTCAACCAGTCGGCAGAAATAATTTTGTCTTCATTTTCGTTTTCTTTCTCTAATAGATCCCGTGCTCGTCCCGATTTCCCTATTATAGAAGAATGGGCCTCTTTCTTGAAGCTAATCTTTTTGTTATTACGAGGTCGCAAATTGTAACGATGTCCGATATTAGTATCCGGTATTACAGCTCCTTGTATTATGGAAGCAGAAGCCGTCGTTTTCTCGGATGTACGTGTCTTTTCGTTGCGAGCAGGATGTGGTTCGTAACGATGCTCGATGTTCGGTGTGCATTTATCGTCGATAGACTCCGCGGCTGCCACTGCAGCATCATGTTCCAAAATTCCAGAGGTGCTATCGTTTATCTGCTCATCGTAATTGACGATCTGAACGTCGGAATCCTCATCATTATAACCATCTGATATTTGAAAAATGTCTTTTGCACTTACGAAACTTTCAAGACTGCCATTGCTGGATGTCGACATCCCGTCAATCGAAGAGGAGATCTTCCCTGTCTCGTATGTAATTGTCTTTTTTTTGCATGGTTGCAATTTAGAATAATATTCGGAGTCCGATAAACGTTTATTACCGGCAATAGATCTCGCTTCTACCGCGCCATCGTAATTAAATATATCGTAACGTGACGTACTGTACGCACTGTCCTCGTTTGGATATTCAGCGATGGTATTGCTCATCCGCAAGGCGGGACTATTACCAGTGCTATCGAGTAGAATGTCGAAATATTTGTCAGGGTTAACATTTGACATTTGAGACACGGCTTTTTCAGTTATAACCAAGCTTTTCGGACTGCCGTCAGATTCTGGCACCTTATCAACTAAATAATTTTCGTTTCTCGTTGAGATGAAGCACTCTCTATTAAAATTATTTTCCAAATCAAATATTGGGTCGATAGATTGCAGGTTTCTCGCTGGTAAAATAAATTTACATTCACTCGGAACGTCAGCGTGGTTCTTTTGGAAAATCTTGTTCATCTGCTCAATACCACTTGTCGATCCTCTCTGCACTGAGCATCCTACATCGTTTTCAAATTCAAAGCACTGATGCTCAGGTATGCCATAATTAGTCATATCAAAATCTTCTTCATCCTCCTCTTCCTCTTCACTTACGATCGATTCCACATCCGTTTCTGGAATTATGTAGGATCTTACTTCTTTTTCCTTTTCTCTCGTGATGCGATACGTGTTGGAACTTGCGTGTGTCCATTGTGTCCAAGATAGCTTATTTTCCGGTGTATTTTCAAATCTAGAGTTAAAGACAGCTCTTTGAGGAGTATAAACGCATACGTTGGAAATATTGAGAGGAGTTGACGTTGCGAAAGTATCCCTCAGGTTTGTTCCGTCAGATACGGGAGATGTTGATTGTTCTTCAACATCAGTACGCTCATCTTCGCGGTGACGATTACCGCGTGCATCCCACTGTCTGTCAAATATCTGTTGCACGTGCTCGGCTGGAATTTGAGAGGCACAGACGATGGCAGATTTCAACCAGACAATAGCCTGAACGAAACTCAACTCCTCATTGCATCGCTCTAAGGTAGATGTCCCGTTGCTGAACGGTCGAGGCAAATTACGTGGTACGTGTAAAAAATGTTGACAATAGCACCTGTAGTTGACGCGCATAGCGTCTTCGTTGAGAACGTTTGCATGGAAAAATGTGGGATCTCTCTTCGGCGAGGATGATTTTTTTGAGGTATTTCTTGTACCGCGAAGCAGCATGCGATCTGAGAAATATAATTGACGTTCCACGTACTTTCTAATAAAACAAAATAATTCACGAGTGACCTCTCATCCTCTCGAGAGTGTTAACTTACCCGAGTCACTCGAATCACGACTTTTATCGCAAGATTCCTCCTCCTGCTCCACTACTTGTTGTATTCTACAAAGAATCGTTTGCTCCGTCTTCTGAATCCGAGTTTTCAATTTTTCGCACGTCTACGAAAAAGAGGAACGTAAATACGTAGTATACGTATATCGATATTAATTGCAAATGTTTACCGTTGCTTTCTTAGTTTTCGGCCTAGCTTTCGCTTTCTTCCCCATTTTTCTCCTCTCTTTATTCTCTGATTCTCTCTCTCTCGGTTTTAGTACGTCGCCGCACTTTTAAACGCTCTTTACGAGCTAAACGCCTGCTCGATTTAAAGCCGCGAACCGTACCAAATCGGTTTATACGTTATTTTATTTTATAGCGGCTATATATATATCTTCCAGAATTTAAACTTTTCAAAGATGGCGATTAGTCAAGCAGCAAGCTTAAAGGCTGACGTAGTACATACAACTGTCGCGCGTGTCGCGATCGTCGCGATGGCCAATTTCGTTCCGTGCGAACGGGACTTGCGGCAGATTTCACGTGGTCTCGTTTACGCGACCGCCGACCGGCGAGGTGAGGTTAGTACGGTCAACGGTGTATGTATGTACATACCGTGGTGTACCGATATACGATTCATGGTAACGGTTCCGCGGGCGAAGGGCAGGATTTTGCGAATCTTTGTTTTATCGCACAAAAAATATAATCCGGCCACCCCGAGAGAATGGACGCGTTGGCGACGGGAAACTTGACGGGTTCGCAGCGGGACGAGTTGATGCAGCAATTGAAGCAACAAATAGCGGTCGCCAATGCTCAGGAACTGCTCACGGTACGTTATTCATTCACGACGTCTTCTCCCCGGCAGCTCACTTCGGCTGACTGAAAGTTACAAACTTTTACACGTATTTGCAGAAAATGACGGAGAAATGCTTCAAAAAGTGCATAGGCAAGCCGGGCACTTCGTTGGACAGCTCGGAACAGGTAAATTTTCCACCGCGCCAAGTCTAACCCTAAAGAGCTGCGTCAGAGACGAGCTCGAGATAATGATAATAAACCTTCCGTTTATTCAAGTCAAATGCCTTTCCTAAGATCAGAAATTAAATTGGTTGGAAAATTTGAATGAAAAAGATTCCACAATGATAGTTTATTTGAAGATTCAAAATTGGTTTTGCAAAATTAACGATTTTGTTATTGTAATCCGTTCTCGAGTCGCGAGTCGCGAGGACGGAGCCGACGGAGGACGTTTCTTGATTTAATCGATTCGATTATTTGTTCACAGAAATGCATAGCGATGTGCATGGATCGTTACATGGACTCGTTTAATCTTGTGTCGAAAACATACAGCGAACGACTTCAAAGAGAACGCAACAGAATGTAAATACGGAAGTTTGTGAAAATATAATTGTTACTTGTTATCCATATTGTAATTTAATAGCACCATTGCAATGTCGCAAATCCCCATTGTATAAATATATTCTTTGTACATGGCCAGTAAAGTTTACACATCACTTGGATATCTTTGATTCGGCATCTAGTTTTCTTCCAAGGGATTTAAAACGATGCATTGTAAATAATGTATAATACAATTTTAAGTACAGGATATAACGTGGCGTGAAAATGGGTTGGACGCTGACTTGTATACATATTTTTTTATGTAGCGACAAATATCTTTATTTATACTGCAAATTTATTAAGGGGGACCGGGGTAGCGTACTGTGTACTGTGTGTTTTTATCGAGATTTTGTAGGGTTTAGAGCGGTGGAAAAGAGAAGGAAGGCGGACGACTGCAAAAGAGAAAAATCTTTATAAAATAAATAACATATACATGTGAATATACATATTATTACATCATACTTGAAAATCATAAATAAGTAACATAGGTGTTTCGTAAAACCCACAATTCCACAGTACTTTTTTTTTTTTTTTTTTTATTATTATTATTTGCATTCTTTATAATTACTTCATACACACTAAAAGGCACGGTATAGCTACCAATGTTTCAACGTGGTTACAAAATAATTATCTGCGACCGTGTAAAGGAGTACCGTAAAGCAGGTTGTTATCAATACCTCGTTCGTGAAATTTGAAAACTCGGACGTATGATCAACTATGACTATGGGCTATCTATCCTGAAAATATCAAGCTTGCCTCTCCATGAAATTTGTGCATTTAAACACCACTGTGTGTGTGTCATATATATGTACATACATACATTTTTTCATAATAAAATTATTACTTGATTTAACGTACAATCTGCGTCGGATATGTTCCTCTCACAACATAAGCTGCGTTAAACAACAATCATATCAAAAAGAAGATATTGTTCATCCCTGCGTACGAGTAAATACATTCAAAAGCATTACGAGACAAATAGTTTACACATCTCGTCATTACAGCGTCCTTTAAAGAACGATCCATGGGTTTTACATATGCGTTCTCTAGATATATCTACGTTACAAACATGCGAAGAAGAAAAACCAAGAGACACGTAAGCAAGGTATAGTTACAAAATTGTCTTATGATTAAATGAAAGTCGCCTAATTAGAATTATATCGCGCGATAAATCCCACCGGGGGCAAACTTTCTGTCACTCATCCGAAAGATCAAGTGAAACTTTATAGCCGTATGTTCTTGCAGCAGATACGAAAAAAGATGCCCTCCTTAAATTATGCCCTTACAGTCTACAATGAGAGATACACTTATTCTGTAAACATGCGTGCTAATGGTAACGACGTAAAATACTATCTTAGTGTAACGTTGGAATGTATCTATCTCTCGTCTAAATTCTACAGAGAGCGTAGGAATGTTCAAATGCAGTCCTGAATCCCGTCGTCAAGATTGCCGTATCGATAATAGAATGTAACCACGCTGATTGGTCAGGAACACACCTGCATTTTTCCTCTTATTTTTCTTCGTTTTTTTGAAATACACATTGGGACAAACGGCAGTTCGAACTAAGCGATTCCGTTACCGCGAACGAACGCAGTGCTGAGACGAAGGGACTCTGTCGTGTGCTATGCAGAGCGCTTTTTACGATTCGTATAACGTACTATTACTTTTATCTTTCTTTGTCTCACGGTATGCCACGTACGTGTGAAATACCTATATTACATGCTGTACGTTAAGCGTACGCGTAGTACAAGAATTTAATTTTGTAAAGAATGTATATGTGCTATTGCTAAAGATATTCATACAATAAATCGTAAAAAAGATTAATAAATTTGATAAATATCTAATTTAATTTAATGATAGAAACTTTTATACCATCATTTATTTTAGCATTTGTACTCTTCCTGCGGAAAGCGATATTTCCTATTGCAATGAGATTCGTACGAGATTGAAGTCTATCAGCATCTGCTAATCGGCTAGTGTTTGCCGTACTACGTAATTCCATATAATTTGTCCCTTCCTCTCGCATTTCGCACGTAGTTGCTATCAAAATAAATATTTATCTCATAACGTACTGGATGTAAATTCATAATTTATAAGTAATAGGACAATAATAATTAAATATAGTATCATACAAGTGTAGAGTAAAAAATGTTGCAAGTATTTGAGCACAGTATTTCCTAGACTCATCATCTGATAAGTTATGTGATGATGACGTACTATTATTCATTGCTGAACTAAAAGTTGTATTAGTGACGGAATTTCTTCGTTCGAACCAGACATAAATTTTAATATTATAACGTAGTCTAGTCGTTAATGAAAAATTCTTTTCGTAAAGCTTGGCTGGCTATACATATTTTTTACAAAAGGATTTTGATTTGTCAAGCATCTAGTTGATCCATCTTGAGTTGTACTTAGTTATTGCATCTTATATGGGGGCACAAAATATCCGCGTTAAACGTCTTTCTTTTCTTCTCGTTATTTTGTTTTTCAATCGAGCTGTATTACCCAAAAATTAATATTCTAGTCTAGCTTTCACTACGTTCCTGCGAATCATGGATGCGAGAAAATATATAAGCACCTAATTTTTCTTCTTTTTTTTCTTAGATAACGTTAACTCTCATAAATAACTTTAGCTTCAAACACTTAGCACCATTACATTCGAAAAAATAATTTGATGGATTTTTTAGGCAATCCATTTCTAGACGGACGATTTCCTGATATTGTTACAATATCATGTCAGTAACTTTATGTAAAATGAGGTAATGGACAATGTTCAGTCATAAAATTAAGGGCAGAGATACTTCGGTAAACACGACAAAATGCTAATAGAAAGAGTCTGTAAAAAAAAGAAGAGAGAAAAAATATAACTAAGTTATTAACGTAGTAAGTCGTGTGCTCTTCCTTTTTTTGACTCTTCTCTAATATTTAAATTATCATAACATTTGCGTAATATGCTTGTAAGAGTAATATAATACTAGTATATTTTTTACATAACGTAGAAGGTAGCCTGTCTGAAGTTAAATGAAATGGTTTTACTTCGTAATATTTACAATGTACGTTATCAAAATATAGGTGTAAAAGCTTTGAAATTATTACGAATTTTATAATCGTGTAACTGCTATTTCACATAATTCTACATATATTCCTTGACATTTCATTTTCGTTAGTTTTTCAATGAACGACAGAAGATACTCTTTTTGTAAATATAAATAATAAGAAATATACTTCGTATTAATAACAGTATATCAATCGTATTGCTTTTTTGACGTGTGCACGGTCTCGGATAATAAAAAGTCTATGAAAAAGATGACGATTGTTCACACACAATACGCATAATTATTGCAGACTATGAGGGTGTCAGAGAGTGCCGCTTATCCTTACAAATCGTACAAAAATATGGTATCGTCTGTGGGTAATATGCATTCAGACATTTTCCTTCTACGTTTATTTTTTCTTTGCAGCGCAACTTATATATAAGTATTGAGCCACAGCTTGGCAGTGCCTTTTATCAGAAACTATGAATTCAACTCTGCGCGAGTTGCTGAATTCTTACAGTAGTCGGCTTACAGTAGATATCCGCTGCGTTCGCTCTAGAGTTATAGGATATCGATCTTATCAAGATTACATACAAGAGGAACAACTCGCTAGAATTCTTACAAAGGATCTCTGTGTAGCGATACGATTGAAAATTACATTCCCTATGTATAATCCGCGGTAATACCCGTCGCAAAGTTTGATATATTCTTATCCGTATTTATATCTTCGAGCTAAAATATAACGGATCTATGTGTATATAGTTACGTAATTTATGCGGGAGAAAAATATGTGCACGTGCAGTTGTAATAGTGCCGCCGTTAATGCGTTAATTTAAGTTCAGTTTACTTACGCAAGAGGTACTACTCAAGATTTCGTCCATTTCTTCGATTTCTTCGCTTAAATCTTCGGTACGGGCACTTTGAGGCTTTTCCTCTTTCTTCGTTCGTACGTTGAGAGGACTGTCCATCTTGTCGGGCTCCTTAGTGGGACTTTGCTCGTTTGCGCTACCTGATGCGGACGACACAAAGTCTTCTTCATAGTTATCTATACCATCTGCAGCTACAAAAATGTATTGCTTTAATATTTCTTCGAAATTTGTGCGTACTGCTGTACATTAGGTGACTAACAATAAGAAAACCATAAGCTTTATATTATTATTACATTTTTTGTAACTCACCAAGCCCAATATCCATTAATTCCTTCAGATCGTTAATGTTGGCCTTTTTGCCGTTTAATGGCGGCAAATCGCTAAATATAGACGTAGCTTTCTGATTTATGGTCGGCAAACCTTCTAGAAAAGGCTCGGCTTTATTCATTGTACTAACGTTCTTCCGCTCCCCGCCGACGATAATCTCGTCAAAATATATCGTTTTCCCGAAGTTGCTTCCCGCGTTAACCGGCTTTTTACTTTGTACATTATTCTCTATACTTAGATCCAAGCTATTTATACTGTTTTGCTTAGATATATCCTCATTTTGATTTGCTTGCGTGTCGATCACTATAGAGTCGTCGAACTTAATTAAGGATTCGGATTTGTTTAACGGACTCATTTGATTAGACGTAACGGTACTATCATCAGTCTCCTGTGCTGCCACATCGTTCGTCGCCGTGCATGTGCCGTGTGGCGTTGCGGTGCTCTTATCAAAAGTTACATTATTGTTCCTGTTACCTTCAATTCCATCAGTGTCCATTGTACTCTCCCTGAGAGAAGATTGATGCTTATCGTACGCCGACGTATCTGTTACAACATCGTCGGCGCCACGCGGCGGATCTTTGCATTTCTTGTCCGTTATTGTCACGTTTATTGGAACTTTCGGACTCTGCTCGGAAATGCTCTCTAATTTTTCAGAGGAATCATTATCGTTTGACGACGACACGGACTCTGTGTGGATTATTTTGGGTACAGACACTTCGAATGTCGCATTTGCAAAATTTGTCGTGGCTTCATCCGTCTCATCGTGTCTGTTGCTAGTTTTGTTCTGTAGGAAGGATTCATAAAAATATATTTAATTTAATTATTTGAGATATCTGATATATCTCTCGTTCTAAAGAATGCAGAAAAATATATAAAAAATGCCAAGAACAAGTTTTTTGTCAGAATGTGCCTCGAACAAAGAAACGAGTTTTTTCTGAAACATTTTTTTGTATTAGCAACAAATGGCATATTCCATCATCGATTTAATTGCTTGACCAAGACAACAACCCGTTTTTTAAATCCATATTTACGTAACAATTACAATTAATTATAATGATCAACTCAATTCAAGAAAAAAATACCTTCTGTGAACTATTAAAGGCACCGTTGATGCTATTCTTGAGAATTTCTCCCAGCAATGGCTCGGTTGAATCAATACCCAATTCTTCGCACAATTTATTTCTCCCTACATAGTTATATTCCTTTCCAAAGTATGTTTCTGGATCATATACAGATATTGTGTAGTCGAGACCAAAGTATTCTAGGAACTCCCTAACTAAGGAAAACAATAATTTTCCTTCTGAATTAGACAGGTACTGCTTTACAGTTTTGTTGAGAAGTGGCTCGGGATTCTGAAACAGCACGCATCTTTGGCTATATCAAATCTTTCTTTCTTTTTATATAAATTTCAAATAACGATACAAGCAACTTGCAAGAGTCTAAGAATTAAAGAATACGTTTTCATGTCTAAAAAAAATATCTATGCATAAATAATTTTCCTTTTTTTCGTGTGTGAGAGACGTGTATATTTTACAATATTTATAAAAACAATAACGCAAAGTTTTCCTTTTTCTCTCGTTTTGTAAAATAGATTAGGTATAACGCGCAAATATCTCGTCTCTTACATGACAAGATGTTCCCGTTCATTTTGCAGGTATAAAAGGCTCTCCTACTTCTAATAGAACATAAAGATTCGTAAACAGTAGCATGCAGCTCATGCACAACACTCACCATAACCGAATCCTGTTCCTCGAGTGCCAGAAACACGCTCGCCCTGAGTTCCGCCTGCAAACATCACAAAAGGGGTCCGATAAGGCCGACGAAGAAAAGGGGATCGCGAGGAATAATCTTAACGAACGGCTTCCACCCGTTATCACCCCGAAAACACTCGCCTAACCTACGGAGACTCGCGGAATATTGCTTTTTTTCTTTTCGCGAAACATTGCTTTCCGAAGACGCACCCGTATCTTAGCGAGGACGCCGTTGCTCTCCAGGGTCTGCACCACCAGGTCCCGCAATTCCGTGTCCTCCTCCATCGAGATGTTCCCGTCTATCATGATTATACAAATTAAAAAAAAATGCGCCGAAACGAACACTCAAGAGATGTAAATATTTACGCTTTCCATCGCGTGTCTACTTTTTCGCGGAAGCGACACTGCCTAGAGACTTCCCTTCCCCTTCCCTTTGCGCACGATCTAGGGATTTCCATTTCGTTGGGTGGTCGTCGCGGAATGGACAAAGGACATGAAAGAAATTGCTATACCGTGTTTGTTCCTTTTCGAAGAATTTTCCGAACTTTGTCCAACTTTTTGCACCAGGGTGCACCGGTTCAGAAAGTTGTTCGAAAAAGAACAGAGACGGTACATTTCGATATTCGATCCCTAATATATTTCGCTGGCTGGGTTCAGCGAATCAGCGGAAAAGCTGCTCGGTAAGCTGTTCGGTGAGCGGCGAGCACTCAAGGATTCTTTGACACGATTGGTTCTTGCCTTTGGTTCTTCTCCGGATCTAATAGTAGAAACCAATCGTAATAAAGAATTATTGAGCGCTCACTGAGCTGCCTTTTTCTCGCTGAACGTGGCCCAGTAGTGAGTGACGCGCCCGCGCCCATTATTTCAAGGTGTTCCCGTGCATTTCTGTGAAAAGGAAGGCCGCCATTTGCACGCGCCATCTGGCACTCGCCTCGCGACTCGCGACCAAGTAGATCGAGCACACTGCGAATTCAGAGTTTCCTCTCGTCGAAGACGAGATTATTATTGTCGGCGACGCGTTGTGTCGAGGTGTGACGTGTGACTGGTGTGACGGATCTCGCGAGCACTCGCGAGCACGTCTCTGTCTTTCGCAGCTTTGAGGTTGAGAGCTTGAGAGCTTGAGGTTTGCTCCGCTTTACAAACAAATCTCTCGAGTCTCTACCTAACCTGATCTCGATTCATGACTTGATTCGGTTAGAGTCAATTCTTTACGAGATACCGAATCGATTTATGAATTGATAGTCGTAATACTCCCGACTGATAAAATATTGCCCGATATATAGCAATTAGCCTCAGAATTTTGAGACTGAGCAACAAAATAATTATTTTGATACATACATATTTTTTTGTTTCAGGAGAGAGAGAGAGAGAGAGAGAGAGAGAGAGAGAGAGAGAGAGAGAG